TATGAGATTGTTCAGTTACGAAGCCCACAACAGCGTTTGACTCGGTTTTTTTAAACGTTTGTAACTGTCGCTGATTTTTCTCCACTATTATTTCGTGGCTTGATTCTCTCCAACAGTTACGTTCTCTTCAACCTTATAAACTGATCTTTTCGTGGCTTTTGAAATACACGGAAACTCTTTCTTCTTCTTCCTCTATTATTTTCAGTTTTCCGAGCATATTGTGAGTTCCTAATCTCTCCTTTTGAGTGCACATTAAGGGAGATCGTTGTGTTAAACCTTCGGGGGCAACGCCATCTCCGATTGCACCATAGTCGGGGCAAATTTTGCTTCTAAGACAGTGTTTCTAACACGTCACGTCGTTATACATACATTAAGAAGTTCAGCCCATATTCCAATCTTTATTTTCTGATTTTACAATATTTCAACCTACAATAGGAACACCTTATCAGTGGTAACTCGGAGTGCAGACAAAGCGCCATTAGCATCAGACCTCCTTGAAAGAGCCAAGATCGGAATGGAGTCAGATGGGAGCTGAGAGATGGCGACACCTGTTGGGATAGGGGGCATATTGTTGGTAATGGTATGGACAGGAGCTACAACATTCTTGAAGGTATCTACGGTGGTCTCCTTGTGGCTAGGAAGAAAGGTCTCCTTCATATTCAAATTAAAGTAAGTCCCAAGCCTTATGCTGACACAAGTCATCAGCGAAAAGATGGTCGAAAGAGCGGAACACCGAAACATCTTGAAGAGAATCAGAGCTCTCTTTCCGCATTTTTATTGTATTTGTTGTTGTTTTTGCAGGAACTCTGAGGATTAGTCCCTTTTCTGACCGTTGTAAAAAAAAATATATCGGAATTGTTATGCAGTTGTAATATAAGAGTGGAAAATAAAGTGTGTGGATAAGGGGAAAAGGAAAGTGTAGAAATTAAGGCTTTCGGGTAATAAAAGTCAAGTTCGTTAAAATTTCAAATTTAAGGGTAAATGCTTTCAATAAAAAGAACACGTAATTAAATTTTTTATTAAGGTGGACTTTCATTGAGTTATTATAAGACAGGTTAAAATTACCTTTTTTAAACTACAAAATTAAAGTTTTCTTATAACAAAATATTTACCCTTAAAAAATATTTATAATGTATTAGATTAATCATATTAGTGTTCAAAATATGTATTTATTATAAATTACACATTAAAATACAATCAAACTTATACGAATTAAAAGTTACCCTTAGTGGGGTTAAACTTACAATAAAAAATTGTTTAAATTACCCTTAAAATTGACCGTTTTACAATAAAATTAACGTAAGTGTCTTATACAAGACTTACTGTAAAAAAAATTAGGGATCATAAGTGAGGTTTGTTATTTTATTTTTATTTATTTATTTTTTTATTATTCCAAATAAGAAGGTGATTTATATATATACATATACATATAAAATAAATAAATAAATAAAACCCTCAGGTCAGGATCTTAATTTAGAATTGCAATCTAAAATTATGTGTCCATCGATGCTAAATTGTAGTTAGTGATTGATAATGCTTAATAATTCTATTATTTTTAAGCTTATCATTATTTACGAGTTGTATATACATATTATTCTTTTCTAATTTTTAAAATCACAAAAATACCCGGTCTCGCAGTCAGACCACGAGACAGCGACACTTGGCATTTCAATTTTTCGCCTCGCGCCACATAGGCGACAAATACGTATTATTGTGACACATATGACGCTAAGTAAGTGATTTTTGGATAGATTTTTTAAGATAAAAATGTTGTATAGAGTTTTATTATCACTATGCTTCTAATGTTTCATATATACAAAATTAATCATAACTTTTAATGAATATCCTATAACTCGGTTTTATTTCCATCATAAAATTTGTTTCAAAAATTTCTTTAAAATAAGATCCATTTATAATATATATAATTTAGTAAAAAAAATAATAGAGAATAAAAAAAAATAAGTTTTAACCCGTAAAAATAATTTTGGTTTGGTAAAAATACTTTCAATTCAGTAAAAATAATTTAAGTTCAATAACAATAATTCAAGTCAATAATAACATATATATCTATTTACAAACAAAATTACAAAAAAGTACGCTATTTTACATATTATAAACGCTATTTAAGTACGCTATTTTACATATTAAATAAGCGATAGGATATCGTATGTCTAAATATCCTGCATTATCAAAAGGGATTACATGAAAATATTAATAAATATTCAAGCCAAAAAATTTATCCTAAAATTTTATCAACAATCTGGACATCATCCGGGCACAAATATATATATTGGCATTAATAAGAAGTTTTTATTAATAAAAAGATTTTATTAATAAAAACCAATACTAGGCCTTACATGAACTTATTATAAGTTGTATTACTTTAATTGTACAATAATAATAGTGTCCATCTTACTAATTCAAATAAGATTTTGCTCTCTTGATTGCACAAGAATTTCAAATGGTTTATGTCTTTTTACAATTTGTATGATCGTAACTTCTCTACCTTATAAAAAGTTTAACAAAACTCTTATGAATAGTGTATGGATATTTATATCCCTAAAAAAAATTCACTTACATATTTGCCCCCATTTGATTTTAAAAGTCTTAAAACTGTCTCTTAAATTCCCTAAATTGATTTACTACCTCGGTTTTATATATTTTGCAATTTTGAAATATTTTATATCTCACAAATAATACCCTAAAGTTGCAAAAAATATGAAATGGGGGTAGTAAAAGGTTATGTTTATTTCAATATTTAAAGCCATCTTTTACTATTCCCATTTCCTTTTATTTTAATTTTTTAAAATTTATTAGACTTTTATATTTCTAGATCGAACTCAATATCTTTTTACCGTCAAGTCACTAAATCAAAGTAGCTCAATTAAAGTTTTGAACATTGCACAACTACACAACATCCAACACATTTATTGACTACATGCAAATAATTTGAATAAAACATTACACAAACATGCATAGAGGGTATAAAAGCTATTAGTAATAATTCTTCTCAAAAGATTAGCCGTACCGCACGCGATGAAATCCCTAGTTATTTACAAGTTAATTAAAAACCTATACTCATGTTAGCTAACTAAGTCTTGTACAAGGCACTAACAACAATATTAAATTATTAACTAATTATATCATGATGACTAACTAAGAAGTCCTCTTGCTTGGGTATTCCTCCATCTTTATCATATAACTGCCAAACCAATTGTTTCCTTCATACAATAGGAAACTTGGATTCCTATTTTATTCCAAAATGAACTAAGCAAGTTGCATCTTTGTTGTTTCTACGTGGATGGATCATCTTTACTTAAATCCACTAGAAAACTTGAATTACATAACGCAATGCAAACGGTCAAACTCTAATTTTGCAATCTTCCCAATTAAGCTCATCAATATTCAGGGGGGACCTTTCACTGGGGCTAATCGGGGCCGACCCCTGTAAATTGTTTAAATTAATTAGTGATTAAACTAAAATTATCTTATTTTATTTATAAAATGTTGCAGTATAGTGGTTAATTATAACGTTTAAGTGAGAGATTAGAGATTCAAATTTTGGCTCCTTTAATATTTTTTGCCAAGATCCGCCAATGTTAATATTTCCTTATCTCAACATATCAATTAGTGTCCTACTTTGGAAAAGAAAAGAAAAAAAAACATTTTTTTTAAATAAAAGGGATTTCATTAATAAAATTAGTCAAACGGCACTTACATATAATTCCTAAGAAATCAAGAATTCCAACACAATTACATAACACTTTAAAACTAAATACATCGTAAAAAACTTCATCTGAAGCAATCAATACAATCTATGAGTTCGCACTTATTCGGCTTGAAATCCGATCCACTGATGCGTAGTCGTTTGAGTGAAAATACTCATGTGGTCCTCCAGATTCATGTAGAGATTATGAAACCCTAGATTTTCAATTCTCGCCATACAAACATAAAAAGAAAATAAACTCAAGAGAAAAATCATCATCTGAAAATGAGATCTATTTATTGAAAGCAATTAAAATGTTTTTGGGGCTTACCACCGGTAAGAAAATCAGTGGAAGCTCTTACAAAGATTTACAATTAAGACCAAGAGGAAAAGAGATGGAGAGAAAAGGAAGAAGAGAGAAGGAAAACCTTAAAAAAAATTGAAAAAACCTAGCAATGGAGGCTAGGAAAATCCTCTTGAGGGAGAAACTCTAGGGGGAACCAAAAAAATCCTCCCAAGGAGAAAACCTAGAAGGAAATCCTATTGCAATAATTTATACAAAATATGAGACTATTTTCTAAAATTATTTGTATATAGTCTATCTAAACTTAATAACTTGTAAAAAAGAAAAAAGAAAAAAAAAACAATTGTCTAGTTGTTGGAAACATAATACTGCATGACATTAATTAAAACAAAAGGGTGTTTTAGTCGCTTGATAATGAAGTTGAGCTTATTTTAGTTGTAATTAAAATGAGATGACCTTTATTGAGTATTTATTTTATTTAATACGATATTTTCTTAAAAAAAACTTTTTGAGTTGAATATATTTTTCCAAGATAAAAGGTAAATAAAGTCTAGCTTCTGTATATAGTTCATACGGAATATACGACGTGCATATAATATTTTGTGAACTTTGAATTTATTTATTTCTAATAAAAAATCTCATGATCAAAAATTATTTTCCTACTCTTAGTTTTTATTAATTTTTTTGTATGTCTTGTGTAATCTTAATTTTCTTTCAAAACTTATTTTAACTAAATTAAGTTAAAAGAAAAGGAAATACTCCTAGAAACTTATTCAAATAGAACAGAAATTTGTTAGTGTGACAGTGACATATATGGGCCTAAAAGGGACATGAAATTATCAACCAAAAATCATTTATTTATTCACATTGATGGCTGAAAATTATTTATCTTTAACAAACTTCAATTATTGCCCCCCCCCCCCCCCTTTTTTTTTAAATAAAAATATCACTGTAAAGCAGTAATTCTAAACCCATCAAAATCTGACAAAACTAGCCATAATTTAATAATTTTTATCCTATGGTCACACTACATAATTCTTAGAGTATAAATTAATTTGTTTACACCGCCTTTTTTTCATCATCTTTGTTTGCTTCTAGAAACCTTAGCCTCTTCTCCCCTGTTCTTATCATCTTTTCTCTAGAATCTTTTTTTTGTCTATAAATACAAATTCCCACAAAAAAAAAAAAAAAAAATCATAGTATTATTCTGATCTTCATTCTAAAACATTGTCTTACTAAAAAATAGCCACTTTTTCTGAGTGAATAATAGCAACTTCTATTACAGTTTATTTAAACTTCAATTTCTTTGAGTTTTGAAAAATATGGATTCGATTATTCCGGGTTTGATTGATGATTTGGGTAGAGAGTGTTTGATTCGGGTACCCTTTTATGAACTTCCAACAGCAACTTCAGTTTGTAGAAACTGGAAGTATGAAATTAGTGTGCCGGAGTTTATCCGGCATCGAAAGGCGGCCGGAGTAGTCCGGTCGATTATTGTGTTAGCTCAAGCTCAGTATGAAGGTCCGATTCAAAATTCTGAATCGGCCCCTGCTGTGAAGGAGCATCCATCTAGGCCAACATACCGCCTTACGGTATCAGAACCGGAAGCCGGGATGTGGGCCCAATTACCCCCAATTCCTGGGCATCCCGAGGGATTGCCCATGTTTTGTGGGTTAATTGGGTCCGGTTCGGATCTTGTTATCGTTGGAGGGTGGGACCCTGTGACGTGGAAGGCCTCGAATGCTGTGTTTATGTATAGTTTTTTATATGGTGGGTGGCGGAAGGGTGCGGATATACCAGGTGTACGGCGGTCCTTTTTTGGATGCGCCGCGTCAGACGATGGTCGGACGGTTTTGGTTGCTGGGGGACATGACGAGGACAAAAACGCCTTGAGTTCCGCGATGTTGTATTACGTGGAAGAAGATAAGTGGGTCTCTTTGCCTGACATGTGCCGACCACGTGATGAGTGTAAAGTTGTTTTCCTCCGTGGCAGGTTCCATGTCATCAGTGGTTACCCAACGGATATGCAAGGGTGTTTTGAGAGGTCGGCCGAGGTGTTCGATTGGTCCACTTGGCAGTGGGGCCCGGTGATCGAGGAGTTTCTAGAAGAAGGTTCGAGCCCCGGGTTGTGCGTGGCTGGTCCTGACGGGCGCTTGTACTCGTGCATAGGAAGGCGAAGTAGTGATGTGGCGGTCTACCAGGGTGACAAGTGGCAGGTAGTCACGGAGGTTCCTGCTGACGTGCGAAGCTCCCAATGGTTGGGTTCTTGTGGGGATAAGTTGGTAGTGATTGGGTCTTCTAAATTCGGTGAACCACATAGTGGTTATATGTTGGATTTGAAGAACTATAAATGGACTAAGCTTGATATGCCTACAAAGTTTTCAGGGCATGTTCAATGTGGTTTTATTTTAGAACTTTAAGGTTGTAGTATTTGCTACTTGTATCTGTTACAAGTTTAAGTAGGGTTAGTGTATGTATATAACTAAATATGTAGCTAAATCTCCGGAGAAGCTTGTGTATACTTCAAGTGATAATATATTATACCGATTTACATCATATAATTATGAAATTTTGGGTATGATTTACATCATATATTATACTGATTTACATAAAAAAAAATTCCACTAGTTTTTGTTATATTCTATCATGTTTCTTGGGCTAACGATTTTGTTTTTTTTATAAGTCTTCTTAAATTTGACTCATTATATTATTTTAAGGGTACTTCCATTACAATCATTTTTTTTTTTTTTTTTGAAATAGATAGAATGTCTAATTTGTTACTAGTATGATATACTATCATACTCATTGTTTAATGAATTTAGGTTGGTATAGAGTATAAAAATTGTGGAGAATCTTACCTAGATTGCATTTGTTAGTGGTAAATCATCCATAAAACACTACTCATTAACTACTGCATAACACAATTGTACTTACTATTTAAATACATGTTAGGCTTTTTTTTTTTTTTTTTTTTTTTTTTTTGAAAGAACATGTTAGGCTTATTAATTCACCGGTGATTATTATACACCTGTTTCACAAATTTATTGCACCCTTTAAAAAATAAAAATATATTTAAAACAAAATTAATCCACATCTTTCATCATCTGATAATTAGATAATAACAATAATTTGATTATTTTAGAATATTTATTATGACAAATCAAATTGGAGTAAAATCAGGAGTGAGTATATAGATGATCACAATTGAAAGGGAGAAAATTATTATAGAATCAGGCAAAAAAGGACAATTTATTGAGCTAAAAGTCTACCAGAAGATAAGTCACATACACACTCACACTTGACTAGTCCTAATCCTAACCCAAAAAAAGTGGCATTTGCCTTGTGGAACTAGTCAAGTAAGGAATTGTTAGGTTAAAATTTCAAAAAAAAAAAAAAAAAAAAAAAAAAAAGGGGCCTTAATTTGGCCTATCTCATGCTAGACTAGTAGTGCATTATCAGAATTGTCTGACAATCTTTGTACTACGGAGAATGTTTTAGACATTTATTTTCGTAATGAGTTAGCCATTGTCCATTTTCCAAAATTTGTTCTTACTGACGGGTGCAAATTACACCTCACATCTTACTCTTTAGCGCGGACATCGGAAAGATGAACGTTAAAGGCCTCCACATTATAAAAGAAAAAATGTTTGAGAAAATAACTCCTCCGATAACTAATTGGTGTACTGGGGGAATCTTGGTCTGACTCTCTAAGGCCTGGGTTTATGCTTGACCCGTTAAAGATTCACCGAAAAATAAATTAGAGTTGGACAAAATAGGACCTATTTTTATTCACTTTATTTTTTATTTGATAATGAGAGGTAAAATAATGTCATATAAGTTTTGATAAGGGTTAATTATGGTTATCCAATTCAATTTACAACTAAAATAAGTTCTACTAAATTATAATAAGTGAATATTAGATGAATAGAACGCACCCTAAGAGTAATGTAACCTGAAATCTAGAAAAAAGTAATCAAAGACCATACCTGAGATGTTTTTTTTTTTTTTTTTTTTCTTTCTTGTCAGTGTTAGCTATGGAGCAAACAATTTGAGCCAAATTGCATGTAATTTAACTTGTTAAAACTGTGTGCAGTGTACCATGCATGATTAATAATGTAGGATTGAGTGTAAATTGACAATATTAAAGTTGGATATTTGCCTCTATTTAAGTTTGGTTCAACAGTTATCAACTTATCATGACATGAAGGAACACAGTTATAATTCACAATTTCACATCAAACAAGTTGCCCCTACATCACACATGCATTTTTTGGGAAATACATCTTATCTAGAGCAAAGCCATAAAGATAAACAAGTTAATCCTAATATTACTACTACTACGTCCATTAAACCATTAATTTTTAGTTACAACAATGGGCGATTATTTATGAGATATAAAGAATTTTTTTGTTGCAATTAAAATTAACAGAGGTAGTAATACTTCTTTTTTGGTACAATTCTTAAATAGACCTGGTTCACAATAATTTATTGTGAACCACTAACATTAGGGACACTACGATTGTTTTATCAATAAAAAAAATCACTATATTAAAATAAAGGTTACTATGTTGAAATAAAAGTCATTGTTACATTATAAAAGTTATATGAGGATTAATTTTTTTTTTAATGAAATTTTTAATATATCGGTTAATATGAATAATGAAGGTCACTATGTTAAAATTAGGGTCACTATGTTGACATAACTCGTAATTTAGGTTCACAATAACATTAAAGGTCACACAAGTTTTAATAAATGTTACTATATTAAAAATAAGGTTACTATATAAAAATTAGGGTCACTATGTTCAATATAACATTAATTGCGTGTATAGAACCCTTCAAAAGAACAAATTTTGGAATTATTTCACTGACTGACATACGTGAAGTTAGAAATAAAGGTTGCTTTAATTATTGGAGCGTGCATGTATATTAGACGATGGTCAATTATAACAGGAATAAGTTCTTGGAGAAGCTAGCAGAGGTCATTGGCATGCCTAGCCTCTTAGGGATATACATATACTGTACTACGGAACAGAAACAATTTCCTTTACGTAGGAGGTAGGGCAGTTTCAAATGACGGTTCATGTTAGCCACCCTAAATCCCTCCAAATCCTTCAGCAAATTAAGGCTTTGATGTTGTATGAAACACAGATATATCGTTCCCAAGACAGTTAAAAAGTACTCCTTTTGTCTCTAAAAAAATGACCCTTTAGGCCAAATTTTAGTCCTAAAAATGTTCATCCCATTTACAATAGTATTTGTGCAAGATTAGCTTTCCAATGTAAATTTTGCCTTTTCCATGTACTTTATTACTTTCTCTCTACTTTTTTGCAAATCTCATGTAAATTTACCCTTTCAATGTACTTTTTATTAGCTTTCCCATACACTTGCATTTCTCATTTAAGTTTCTTAATACCTGTGAAACTTCCCAAAAGGGTTGTTCTTTTAGAGACGGAAGGAGTAGATGTAAATCAGATATATGTTGATATGATTTTATATCTTGCCTAGATTTCTATATCAGCAGTATATCCTGCAAGAATTCTCTGCTCTAATGTATCTTGTCCGCTGGCTGCCCTTTAAAATTCCTACAGACGCGTCTGCTGTTACATGTGACAATCATGTAGCAGGAACAGTTTAGTGCAAGTGTACTAAATGGCTAGACATGGCGAAGAAGCAAGCACACAATTAAGTTATGGTGGATGGCAAGAAGATTCAAATCATCTAATGTATTATACCAGGAAGATCTTTGGAAGAATACAAGAATAGTATTCTTCCCTGAATAAGAAATGTTACGATATCCTTTAATTTAGTGGCATGATGCTTTCTGATACTAGTAGTAAAAACTCTGTTACCAGATCAAAAATAAATGGAAAATTCATCTAAGATAAAAATTCTATTTGATTCGCATGCACTTGAACAAGACCTCGAAGAATAACTTGTACATATGCCGCTTCAAGTACATTCTCTCTACCTTTTCCCTACCTCTTAGTCCCATTTGCTGCCTAATTGATGGGTTTTTCAACAAATACCTGAGATTTTCAGCTAGTACTTTAGTCCCTGGATGTCCCACGGGATGGAGGAGGCCTGTAATATTTTGCTCAACTATTTCTTTCGTACCACCAGCATCTGTTCCAAGCACCTGCCCATACATTAAAGCATAGCTTATCATACTCCATTCCATGTACATCAATTAAGAACAAAGGGCTGACCTTACGGTTCATTTGATAGATGGTAACATATGGTGTCAATTCGGGTGTGTGGGTCGGGTTCGGTGAAGTTGGGTTTGGTCAATTTTAAATTTGAATCATGCTAAATTATTGTGTCCATACAAGTCGAAATCTGAATTTGATTTTTTTTTTTTTTTTTCAAGTCGGGTTGGGTCAGTCAGATTAGTTTTTGACATAATGATTTATCCCTAATTTAAAATGATATGTTCCAACTAAATGTTAACATAATGCAACCCCATTCCCAAACACATGCTTCTCAAATATGTACAGTACCACTCACTAGCTAGCTCCTTTAAAAATGCAATGATAGCAGTGAAATATTAAGAGAACACACACACACACACTGACACACATACACACAAAAATAATTGGACTAGCCATATAGGCATGATACCTTAGAAATTTAAAAATTTACTCAATATCATCTATGTCATTTATATCATCTATGTTATTTATCAGACTACCGAAAGGGCCGTTTTTACTTTCACGAGACCAAGTCTCATCATATAAGCTCATGACAGTACACTTCTTAAAACATTTTTTCCAGCTTTAGCCTTATTGCAACAAGAAAAAATCATTGTGCTTTTGGGGGTAAGGGGGAATACAGCAGACTAGAGAATATCACAGGATTACAGGATGACAATGCGTTAAATCATCTAATACCCTGTAAAGGAGGAAAAGAGAAATAAAGGATATGTAACCCATAAACAAGAAGATGCAAGCTAAGTCAAGACTTACCGGCAGACCAAATGCCATTGCCTCAATTGTCACTCTTCCAAATGTCTCTCCGAGCCCCTAGTGCAATATACAGATCAGAAACAAAAGTATACTCCAAGAACAGTTTATCTCAGAAAAACAATTTTCCATGTTCAGATCTAATAACTCATGTTGTCACCGAAAAAAAAAGATATTCTTTTAAGCATGATTGCATGTAGATTGATGACTCAACCCATTAACAGGCTATGAAGCTATGAGTTTCCCCTCAGCATCGTAACACATTAAAAATAATGGAATGAGGCCACTTAAACAGATGCAACATGTCTCGTTCGCATATTATTATTAATAGATTGAGATCACTTAAACTGATGCTACATGTCTCAGTTACAGTTTAACTCTGCCAAACCAAACCCTCTACATTAACTACAGATCACTGCTCAGAATATAGATTAAATCTGATGAAGCAAGTAATGAAAAAAACAATTCATCAGAATAAGATAAATATTTAAAGTGGAAACCATAGTAGATGTATCAGAAAGGTTTCAGAGATTCTTGACATAAGGTGTCATATTGATGATAATATGAATTCATATAAATCAAATTAGACATGTCAGCCAAATTACAGTGCACGTTCAGTGTAGATGCAAAATCAGGTACCTGAATTTTAACATAAATCTTTACCTGGGAATTGGTGACATAAACATCTGCTGCAGAATACAGTGAAGCAACACGTGTTGTTGTTGGAGTCCACAGGATGGACTTTGACAAATTTGAATGTTTTGATGAAAATTCAAGAATTTCTTTCACATACATCACCTTGTTGCTCTTGGATCCAACTGAACCGATTAGAATCTTAAGTTTTCGATCAGTAACTTCACGGATTCTTGGAATTTTTTGAGCAATTTCAGATCTTGTGGGATCTGTGCCAGGCAAGCTGTCAGACATGCTGATTTGGGAAGACCCACTAGTGCTATTTGGCTTCAACGCGATACCTCTTAAATGAAACTTCTTAGCCAATTTGGATGCTTTTTTCTCCGTCTCTGGTGAAGTCATTGATTTAACTTCACTTTGAGAAGGTTGTTCTTCAATTACCAAGTATGCTGATTCAACAAGAAGGAGTTGACCCTTGGGGTAATTTATGCTGCCTAGAGAAATGACTAGCATATCATGATCTTCCAACCCCATCTCCTGCCTTACAGCTTGTCGTAGCATCTGACGCTTCTGTGACATTCTCTCTGGGTTTGTCAAAGGAGTATTAAGTGAGCAGGGGATGCCAGCTACGAAGGCCAATTCATCATTGACAGAAAGGGGAATCAATGTTGTTTGGGTAGTCAATGTAATGTTGTCCTCCTTACACCAGTCAAGCCACTGCTTAGACTGTAATTCGGAGAGGAATACAAGCATTTTAACTCGATTGAGCAAGACTTTTGACCGGTCAAAGTACTCACGGCGATTCTCCATGATCCACCAAGCAATTTGATTAGAGCCGGCATTGAAATAAGCAAGATATTGCTCTGCAGAGGAAACAACAGAGCATCATACAGATTGCTTCGTGTATTCTAAAAACAATAATCTGAAATAATTACAAATCAAAATTAAAATGCCCAACAGATTTTTTTTTTTTTTTTTGAAAACATGCCCAACAGACACTTATACAACAGAAATAGAAAATTCAATGGGATTGACGAAACACCCATGTAAAGACATTTTCATTTTCCATTTTTAGTAAATGTTGAAATTTATATGCCCAACAGACATTTATATGTCATTCAAATGGTGAGCAAGGCTTGAGGTATGAAGTATCAATAAAAGATGGGAGGATGTGGCTCATAGAACTTATAAAACTAATGCTGCAAGCGAGACACCTTTATAGCAGTATAAGAAGTTAAGAACTTTCCGGAGTCAAAGATTTACACCACTTGAAAAGCAACAATGTGTCCATGAACTAATAGGAAGTCTTTAACTTTCCATCTTCCTAAAATTATTGCCTTATGATCTGAAAAGTGCAAGAAATTACGGAATACAAACTATCAATTGTGGATACTTCATATAAAGACATGATATTACATAGTAATCAGAACAATTAGATACTCGTATAATTAGAAAGCACCTCATTATATGTCCAATATAATATTAATTTTCTTCCATAGTAGTATGTAGTATCCATTTTATATTAATCCAAAATCATCTAACAAGAATTTCTAGATGGACAAAATACTTGTGATTTTATCTTGTAATATTTCCTCCGTTTGTTTTTAGTTGACACGTTTCTTTATTCACACTTGCCAATGCACAAATTCAATGATTAATATCTTTAGTTGTCACTAAGAAAAAATTATAAAAAGTTGATTTTTTGAAATTATAAATAGAGACGAATCTATGAAGAGCCCACATGAATATAATTATAATCACGTATAAATCACAAAACACGGTCAAAGGAGAATGTGTGAATAGTGCCAAAGTCAAAATGTATCAACTAAAAACAGATGAAGGAAGTAGCACATAGCACCATCAAGCCTCCAAGGATCCAGAATCATATGGATAAGTTGATACCCTCTTCCTACTGGAGAGCACTGACACACTATATGCATTTCAATAATATAGATGCCAATCATTTAAAAATTTATTCCTTTCAACAGTGTTAAAACATTAGAAGCTCTTACTGGATAGTTGAATTAGGGAACTACATCTATATATAGGCTAGATTATATTTCTCTTTCTGAATACATGATGCTATTTCTTCACTTAAACCAACAAAAGGAAAACTTTAGTCATTGTTAAGGCATCTAGGGCAAGCTGAGAAAATAACATCTGAAGTGTAAATTGTTAGTATCATTTCAAAGAGTGATGTCATACCTATCCACTGTGCACAGACTGCTGATCCAGCAATGACAAGATCAGCTTTCATGGCAGCTTTGAAGCTGTGTTCTGCCTTGTCATCAATGATCTTGATCCTTCTCTTTGTGAGCTCTGACATTAAACCACCTCGTCTGCTTAGGACTACAGCATGAACTGTTGCCCCACAACTTAGTAGCTCAGTTGCTAGCTCCAGCATGGAAAGGGGAGCTCCAGTCATTGACAGTTCATGAAATATCAAGACAAAGTTTCTAGACCAAACTAGACGTGCAAAGAGTTCATTCCTATCACATGTTCCTGTTCGTTTCTCAGGACTCCATTCCAGAATTCTATCCTCAGTAGAGGCAAATGGACCAACTAGCAACCGATAGGTAGAATTACTCATTGGAATCTGCTCTTCCAGCACATCATCCGCATCTCTTGTTCTAAAATCTTCCCCAATCTTTCGTCTACCACGTGATTTACTTTGTGAGCCACGCCTTCCTTTCTTACTCCTCTTTTTAGAAGGTACAGTCCGGGAAGGTCGAATTCTAGGAGGTAAAATAACATCTTCTTCAGTCAAAGATAAATCTATGCTACTATTAAATTTGATCCCATTTCCTACAAGACTACGACTAGACCGATTCTTCACATTAAAAATTTCATCATCTGATTTCAATTCACGATGCTGATTCTGCCCTGAATTAACATACTCATTCCTGGAATTACTCCCAAACCCAACTTGGTTACCTTCATTATCCCCATGAGCCCACCTAGACTGGATGTAGAATCCACCATAAGTCCACAGAGTAATCAAAAGTAGCCAGTACACCACCGGACTATTCTTAAACCACTGAAACCTACCCCCACCAGATCTACCATCTCGCCTAGGTGTTCGAGTAGAAGGAAGCCTTCGAAACGTGGGAGAAGACCTAGGGGTCGATCTTCCGGACAATGTAGGCTTTAAGGTCCTCAATGCCGATGGCCTAATCACATTTCCCAGCAAATCCTCGTCGTTATGATTGTCCTCCATTTACAACTCCCTACTCAAACTAATCGAAAATAAAGAATAGTCCAGTGTAATGTTATTATCTCACAAAATGAGGAAATCGTATCAAGTAGCACAACCCATATAATCGAAAATAAAGAAGGCCCCTCGAAATGGGTAAAAGATTCAAAATGCTTTACAAACAAATCCTTTAACAGCTTCTTAATATCAGATTCTGCAAATTACAATTTTCAAGGTAACAGAAATTAATCTACTGAATTCATACACATTCTCCTAAACAATTGATTACCACATCTTCCTACTCAAAACATCAAAATCTGCTGTTCGTATAGATAATTAACACCCCAAAATATATCAATCCAAAAAAGTTGCTTAAATAACATTACTAAAAGCAATTCATAGCAATGCAAATTCAAGAAACAAGACAATTACACAATGCAATACAATCTAGCAAAACCTACATAATCCAACATTGATTCCACTCATTCAAAAAAGAAAAAAAAAAGAAAAAAAATAATGGGTATTTTACACAAACAAAATATAATGCGAAGTATATCATAAATAACAGTAAACTCTATGAAAAATAATGGAAATAGAATAAGCAAGATATAAAAGGAAAGAAAACCCATAAAAGCAGAACTACGAATAATTTCCCTCAATAGAAAAAAAAACCCAGAAATAAACTAATCTCCTTCATTTTTATTTAAAAATAAAATTCACAAACAAAAAAGAAAGTGACAAAATCAATACCATTGAATGCACCAATAGCTTTCCTTTCTGGGAATTTTCTATCGAATGTTCAAAGATTCAGAGAAGCTGTTGAAGCTGAGTAAGATGTAGTAGCAGCAGCAAAATCAGCTCAATTTTCAGCTGTATTTTTTTTATATTCATTATTATTTTTATTATTATTTTTACAGTGAAGAAGAAATTTCAAGAGAGAAGGAAGAATTAAGTCAAATGATGATTGACGAGTGGGAGATCCCACTGTCGGAGGAGAGAGAAAGTGTCTCAAATAATGATTTTTTTTTTTTTTTTTTTTTTGGGTTTTGGGAGTTTGACACTTTGACATAGCACGTTTTTCATTTTCTTTCTCTTTCAGACCAGAAATTAAAAACTGTGGTTTTTTAGTTGACAAAAGCTAACGAACAGTCGATCCTTGTAATAAATATTAATTCCATCGATCGACACGTAATTTTGGCATATATTCTCATATTATTAAATATTTTAAAGGGTTATCCAATACCTCGAGGCGTTTGTTAGCAAAATTCTTTTTAGTTTTACTCGTATCAACTTTTAGGTAGTTTGTGATTAAGTGGAGATTCATTAATGAAGCCAAAGAGGATTGCAGGTTATAATAGTTTCTTAGATTACATTGGTCAATCACAATGTGAGGATCACAAACTTTTAATTTCTTACTTATATCACAATATGAAAATCGCTAACTTTTAATTTATTATATCACAATGTGAAGACCGCTGCGCTGACTCTTTAATATCTTTCATGGATGTCAATCACAATGTGAGGATTGCTAACTCTTAAGATTATTGTATCGATTGTTTTTTATTATATTTACACGAAACTTGAACATCACATAAAAAAAAATGTATAGTGAAATTATACATGGTGCAAACTTGTACTAAAGATATACCATTACAAATTATATCATTGTTTATGGAGTAACACTGATTTCTAAATAACCCAACTTGATCATCAAATCTGACAATTTGCAATAAATAAACTGAATTAAACATAAAAAAAATTAATTATTCTGCATCACGCATTCAAATATACCTTCAAGATTAAGTTTGCCACACAAAATTACAAGTTCCTTGTATTTTCAAGTACAAGTTGGTGACCCTTGAAAAAAATACTGTTGTCCTTGACCAAATAATAGATAGAGTTGAACTTCATGGTTAATTTGATTCAGTGAAGCATAAATGAGCAATAACAGTTACTCAATCGAAAAAAAAAATAATGGAACCTCAGTTACAATTTTACAAATCGGGAATTGAGGAGGGGTAACTAAGGGAAATCAGGAACAGGGGTAACAATGTTTTTACGATAGGGATGGGAAGGATAATAATACTTCGTAAGCAATAATGGTTAACCCGTAAAAAATGAGTATTTCATAAGAGTACTCACTTCGCTTTTAATTACTTGCTCCATTTTTCCATGCGTGGAGTTTTAGAAGAAATTAGAGAAGTAATAAAATATAGAGGTAGTGAGGTTGGTGAAAGAATAAAAATTGTAAAAAGCAAAAATAGTTGAGAGAATTGGAGGAGAGAAAATATAAAATTAATAAAATATAATTTATGTTAGAACCACTAGTTGAGATAAATGAATTAAATATTATAAAAGCTTTCTAAATAAGAAAATAGAGGAAGTAATTAAAAACGGCCGAAAATGAAAAGTGGAACAAGTAATTAAAAACGAAGGGAGTATTATGCAAAATACAAACATATTTATGACCTTGGCTTGGTTGCTCCGATAAAACCTTCTAAGGCCAAGTTGAATAAAATAATCAGGATCACAAATACTAGCAATACGCAAAAACCTTACAAGGTGAGAGACCAAACTAGCCATTAAAAAAGAAAGAATAAGTAGAGTTCATATTCCCATAGCATCAATTATCACCACCTATCAAACAAGTCGTTACTCCTCACAAAACAAAAGCTTAATCTAATTTAGCAAATGTTCGTTCATCCAAGCAAAAATCTAGTGATGAAAACACTCAATAATCAAAGCAGTCCAAAAAAAAAACATTGATAATAAGCAGGTTTAACCCCCAAACGAAAAATAACAAAGAAATAATAAACAATGCGGCCAACATTAACTCATAAACAGGAATAGAATAGAATAGAAAGGTAAACAGCACAAGCTAAAAAGCCCATTCACGACATCAACAAGAAAAAAAAAATAGCTAGATATGTATATAGCACATTAAGTCTGGCTTTTCGAACATCTTCTGCAAACACTTCCTCAAAAAAGCCATGTGTACTGAACGAGCCTTCATGAAAACCAAGCCACCAGAAAACCTAAAACCATAGAAGCACGGAACACCAACACACTTATATTGCTATCAGCCAAGGCAACAAACCCAATCAATGAATCAATGAAAAGAATAATTTGGTCCATGATCCATACCGCATATCAAACAGCAAGCTACAAACCAACCCATTTCACGGCAACAATCTTCCTAAACTGAGAACAGCTTGAGCAGACGCATACCATATTAACTGCAAGCCATACAAAGAAAAAGATAGCCTCATAAATACCCATAAGCACAGCTGAAAGTTATAAAATATAACTGTGAATCCTAGAAAATTGTTGCAATCAATTACATTTCCAATGCCGCCACTTGAAAGTAACAGTAATGTGCATAAATGGAACTTTCAAGAATTTCACGCCAATCATTGGGAAAATTCCTTACCTATCTCTGAGACACAGAAAGCCCAATGTGGTCTAGCGCAAGGGCGCAAGAACACAAATGGGAGTCAGAAAGAGAGCCTTATGATGAGAATAAACCGGAGTTCTTAAGCCAACCACAACGACCTATTTTCAATTTCAAGGAAACAACTTCCAAAATCTTATTTGAACAGGCAGAAACTTCAATATGTACTTCACTGGCTAAAATTCATCTCTGAGTATCTGTAAAATGGAAAAGGGAACAACTAATCAGTAAGAAAAGAGGACAAAAGCAACGTTTATATAAGGACATCTCTGAGTTCTATCCACCTGCGAGGCTTATTTTGTCTCTGACTAAACTCATCATTAGCCACATCTGCAACCAAACAGAATCAGATTAATAAAAAGATAACAGTGACAGACAGTACCATTTAAAAGCTATAATATTTGTATATTTACCAGATATTTGTGGAAGTTTTAATTCACTGCTAGGTTTGCTAAGATTATTATTCTCCTTGCTGCAAAAGAAAGAAGATTGTTAAGCTCTGAGACAAAGGCCAAAGGGAAACATATTGCCAACACAATATTTGAGCTTTAGAGTTAAGGTGGCCAGCAAACGCAAATATAACAGGCAATGAGCTGAAAGCGGAAAGAAGCATAGGCTTAAAATCAAAGCATACCTTGCCCTTTCAATGATTCTAATTACAAACACCAGTCATAGTACGATCATTACACGTATATAGTTTAAGGGGGATGAGTTGGATACACAGAACATTCTGTGAGTGTGCATTTCTAATGATCAAAGGATTCAGAAGAGATACAAATGACAGAATAAAATCTGACCAAACATCCTTTGACACAAATTTCACGAATCATGACGTAACACACATTTTAGTACAAACCATAATCTGTTTCTTTAGCTCAGTTGGCACAACAAAAAAAATAATAACAATAATAATAATAACACCACACAAGGCAGCGATAAGGCATCAATGTTATCAAAAAGGAGCACATATAAAAAAGATTGCAAGCCTTATCTACCTACAGTCTTCGAAGCAATTAAGAATTGTTCACAACGGTAAACAACAAAGAAGGGATGTAAAAAATTGAACATCTTCCTCTGACTGCTTATTTGAATAGGTTCAACTATATCAAAGTGCAGACAACTTGAATGATATCTATACATGCTATATTCAAGAGTTAAATAAGGTACACTGTAACAGTTTTATTAATACACAACAAAGTTTCGAGTATAGTACGGACCTAGAAGCAGGCAAGGCTGATGGTTGCCCTGTTGGTCGAGGATTGTAAGAACCATCAACAGCCATATAAGGGTTACAATATGAGGCTCCCAGAGCACCTGCTGCACTTGCTAGAACAGGTAACCTGAACACATCCAAAAAGCAACACTATTAAGTATAAAGTCATATAATGAATTACAAGGTGAATCAGACTTCACGCAACAAAGATATTGAAAACAAGTGATACTCCAAAGTCCAAACATATAGAGCTCAACATGCAGAGAATCAATGGTGGAGTAACAAGAGCATAAATACATTCAAATTTAAAGGTAATTCTAATCATAAATCTCTATCAAGTTAACACATTATTAGGCTTCCAGGAAAATAAAGTTTTCTTAAATTCTCAAAGACCTGTAATACTTCAAATAAAAAAAAAGGCTCATGTATCTGTTATTATGTATTTCTGTGTACACATGAAAGTGGATTGGGCCAAAAGTAAACCAAATGAATAAGCGAAAACAATCAAAACAATGAGTCTATGACGCAACTCCACAAATCTTTGATTCTGCACATGATAACAGGAAGACAACTGAAATCCAACAGATTGAAAAGACCAATCAAGACTGAGTAGCCATGAATCAAAGACAGAACTTTAACAACAAATTAAACACCACAAAGACAAAAACCAAAGATGAATTCCAAAGATTTTTAACTGCAACATATAGAACAAGAGGTAGAACTGGAGCAATACATACAAAGACACATTGCTCAATCAGGTGACTTGACTGGAGTAAGTAAAAATAAAATTGTGGTTCCGAATTATACACATTAGCACACACTGAATATGGTTGATCAAAAAACATATACTCCGTAAAACATTATAATTAAAGCATTCTACAGCCAAAATGCACCAGTTCAATCCTTTAATCTTCATGGCTTACTCTCCATTGTAAAATCACTTTAATGACCGTCTTTTATTTAAGCTAATGCACAAATTCTAAAATAGCACTGTTATTCTAAAAATGTCAAGTATACAGAATAGCAAATTGGCATTGCCTATTTCTGACCGAGCATCTTTCTGGAAGGAAACAGCAACAAACAAGTGTACATACCATGTCATTTCAGAATTTCCAAGACCATTTGGCTGAGCAACATATCCAGGAAATGCCATTCCAACGGCAGGAACTCCAATACCTCCAGGATGCTGGCCCCCAAATTGCATAACTGCATAAAGCCCAACAAGTAATGTTATAACATATTTCTCACAAACAAGGGGGTAAAAAGGAAAACAAATACATTCTGCAGTAAGCCTTGTGATATAAGAGGGAAAGAATATTTTATTAAAAAAATCAATGAAACAAAAAAAGATGGTATCTGATGATTCTCATTTCTCATACTTCCTCCGTTTTTTTAGTTGCACCACTTTCCTTTTTATTTAATAAACACTCCCTATCTCTCTCCTATCACATGGGTCCATTTTGTTATTCTCTCTATCTCTCATGTCTCATCTCCAAAAATTGCCTAGGATTCTACAATTTGCAAAGTGATGCAACTAAAAAAAAGAAAAAAACGGACGAAGTATACCAAATAGCAGATATAATTTTTGAAAAGGTTAGTTAGATAATGAACATTCAATTATGCGCACTTTCTTACTATCTAAATAATTAAACTTTCGACCAAAACTGACTTGTACATAAAACTGTTGTTTAATTGACAATTCAACATTTATATGGATTCCGAGATAAATCCATTAGTTATATTACATAAATTAGCCAATGTACTATTGATTAAACCAGATCATAGGAGAATTCTCAGGATTGGGTCAAGCAGCCCATAAAACCAACAGGCTTAATCTGGAACAAAAACATTTTAGTTTAACAATATGTGTTGATTCAAGTAGAAAAACATTAAAAAATAAAAAGAACTACAACCACCAGGTGACTTCTACTTTGGTGCACTAACTCCGGTTTCACCAAAGCAGAAGCCTAAATTCAGTTAACCAAAGTTAGTCCACTGAATTCAAAGTAATCAATTTTCAGAAGGTCAAACACGCAAACAAAAAATATATATCCAGCAAGAAAAGAAAACTTACAGTTAGCTGGGAAGAAAGCTGGAAGGTTTGGATCACCAGAACCCATGTTACCACCTGGTCCACCACCACCATACACAAGCGCACCCCTACCAGTTCCCTGGGCATTTCCTTTTCCTTTTCCAGCCACAACAATCTTAGATTTACCAGATTCTAATGGGGAATCAAAGTTTCCAGGTTCAAATGTATTTTTCGACAAACCTGTTTTTGGAGGAGAACTTTGAGAGCCACCAGGAGGGCGTTGGACAAGTTGCTGACCTGAAGTCTGCTGAGAAGTCTGACCTCGGCTTTGCACAGGAGTCTGCTGGGAAACTTGAGGTGCTGGTGGTGAAACTTTCTTAAATTGGTTATTGGTTTGAGGTTGAAATATGGAGGGTCCAGATGGCGATACTCCCCTTCCCTGTGCTCTAGACGGAGTCATCTGAGCAGCACCAACTGATGGAGAAGCAGAAGATTGCATATGCACATTATTCAATGGCTTGGCTGGAGGAACTGGATCATTAATGTGCAGCTTGTCCATACCCATAGAATCAATTACATTCTTCCCTCGCAACATTGAAGTTGAATGTGGCACAGAAAAATTATGGTCTACAGCAGAAGGGCGAATATTCCTGCTATGATTTCCAGCTTGAGCTTCTTTTTTTTGAGGCAATGCAACATCTTTATTGGATGTGGCTGACGGATAAAAAGGAGGGGAAGCAGAGTTTAAATTGGATGCGACTTTCTTAGCCGGAACTGATTCATGCTCCATATCAAGGCTAGCTGTTGAAGCAGCTGCTCTGCCAGAACCAGCATGCGATTTTTTGTCCAGCGACTTGGCCAATCTGAGAAGTAATAAATATTTTTTAAAAAATAGAAAGAAAAAAAGAAAAAAATGCACAACCATGGAGTAGAAATTTCAGAGTCCTCACTGTTTGTTATGTGGTTGGAATGTTTCACTCCTATTCTTCATCGAGGGTTGATATCTTCTAGGTCCTCTTCCTCTCACATCCCTCGGGGGAGCACTTTGATTGTTGTTACCATCATATCCTCTCATTCTGCTCCCGCGAGCAAACCCACGATCTGGACCTCTAGCTTTCCCACGGCCTCGAGAAGATCCTCTAGAAGACCTTCTTCCCTGATAATAATCAAATATAATGAATAACAAAAAATATGTAGAAGCAAATTCATCAAAATCGATAGACTTCCATTGAGCTACATAAAAATAATGATGTAGCTGTGCATGAGCCAGTACAATTTTGCAAATGACGATAAAAAAAAGCACAAGAAAAATAGCAACAAAGAACATTTACCTCCTCAAAATGCCTGTCTGACGTGTTCATTTCCTCAAATTTATCATGCCCCCATTTCCTCTCATCTTTGGATTCCCACAACTTTCTACCACCAAAGGTTCGCCTAATAAGAGCAGAAGTTGAATAAATTTATTTAAAACAGAGATAAGAGCACTAAATCAGCAATGCAAAGCCGTCGACAATAAAGAATTAAGGGAAAGACAACTGTACACAGCCTGACACAAGACCTCTGAATTTTTTCTTGTTATAAGTAAAAATCTGAGTATGGGCTACAAGGCCTCACATAACCGGTATCAAAGTCAGCACAGAAAACTAGACAGAACTAAGAGAAATCCTAAGCAAATATAAACAAGGCATAATAAACTTCTCCTCCCTAAGAAAACTGAGCAAAATTTTAACAAATTACACTGTATAGAAACTTTTTCTCCATAATTCAAAAGGCATGGTATCCTTTCCACCTCCCTTGAGAAAGTAAAAGGAAACAGAACACCACCACGAGGAAAAATCAGGCCTTCTTTCCTAGTTATATATCAAGCTTTCATTACAATTGCACTAATGAGCAATAACAATTACATAGCAAACAGCCAAACACCTACTGAGAGAAATATATATATGATACTAGCAATAGAAACAAAAGAACTAAGGGCTTGTTCGTAATGGTTTCTTTTTTTAGTATTCTGTTATTTTTAAAACAAAAAACCAAAAAAAAAAAAAAAAAAAAAAAAAAAAAAAAAAAAAAACAGGAAAAGTGGTTTCCAGTTTCTAGTAGTTAGTTTTCTAAACAATCATGATTTCAATAGGTTTGAGTAATGTTTTAGTATTTATATAACACATATAATATATCAAACAATTAATCAAAGCCTTAATCCCATAAGTGAGGTCGGCTACCTGAACCAAATTTGATTATTCCGTGTAATCATCGACCAAAATCTTCCTTCTCCATCCCTTACGATCCAATGCCTCATCCTCATGTAAATCCATATACTTCATATCCTTCCTAACTCCTTCCAACCAAGTCATTTTCGATCTCTCTCTCTCTCTCTCTCGTTTAACCCCTCCATGGTCCCACTCTTCCATTCTTCGTACCGGTGCACCCTCAAGTCTCCGTCTTACATGCCCAAACCAACAAAGGCGATTTTCCCTTAGTTTGTCAGCAATGCCTGTCACACCTACTTTCTTGCGAATAACCTCATTTCTAATTCTTTCAAAAATACAAAACCAAAAACCTGAAAACTACAGTGATGTCGAACGGGTCCCCTAAGTTAAAACTTCCATTCCTCTAGTTTATGATGCGAGTCAACTCAGTCAAAGTGACCAAAGAAGTGTTACAAAAGAGTATGACACTATTCTGGCAGCAAAACATTTTACACACACAACATATATAATGTGCCGAAAGGGACATTTAGACACCTTAAAAGTAAATGAAGAAAAATGAAGAAAAGAGGAAACAACAATTAACACAATTACATCTCCAAAATGGCGAAAACCATAGATGACATTGTCTGATAAAAAAAAAAAAAAAAAAATTCTAATTAAGCAATTTCTTGCAACATGCAACCAACCCCAATTTTTGAAGAAAAAAGGTTTAAGGGTAATGTTAGTGTTGTTCTTGCCTAATAACATACACTCAGAAAGTTATTTGTCACAGAAAATTGAAAGTCTTGCTTTGGGAACAGGTATCCTACTGGATGCTTAAAATAATCCTGCAAACATGTTCTTCATACCACACTAATTATGTTCTTAAGTTATAGTATACAATAACTCCCATCTCCTTAACTGTATATATTATTCAAAAGAAACAGTGCTCAATAACATTATCCAGTTCATGAGAAGTTACAAAAAAGTAACCAATAAGCTGATGCAGACACTGAAAACATGTTTCATATTTGATTGCCTTTTATTTCTTTTAGATACGAACACAGGGAGAGTAACATACATGACACTTTTTTCTGTTGAAATGATGAACTAAGACGAATGGAGCTTTTCCTTGAGATAGTTTCAAACACAGTAAAAATTCTTATCTAGGTGTACCCAAGGTTAATTTGTTACTCATTTGTTTGATTCGATGAGCGAAACACAGCCCCAAATTTCCAATGAGCAGTAAATATACCTTTGGGTACACCTGGCTGTATCCAGGTACAAGGAGGAGGTTCTCCAAACATAACATTACATTCATGTATTATTCACACGAATAAAGGCAAAAGGAAGTATCCAATTCATAGCAATACATGTCAAATAAAAGGGCTACAATCCTCTTTACTCGACATCCAAATGCTATGCAACTCCCTCAAATTCTATACATCACTATTACAACCTTTATTTATTTTCTAGAGATCCTGCCTTATCCATCTCAGTATCTCTTTAATCCCAAGTATCGACATCAATCATCAATCATTTAGATTCCACACTATATACCCTCAACTTTATTATCCATAAATTCTTTACACTACCACTCAGAAACACAAGATTATTCCAATTGTCCTCTCTCTATTTCCCACATAAAATTATGAATATAACAACAATAAACCCAATTGTAATCAGTAAACGAAATAGATACAAATAATATACAATACAAAATTCGAAAATACCGGGCATAACTTAAAAGCAATACCTGTGACGACCACCAGCATTATCCTTAAACCGATCATCATGCATATAAAACGCCCCGGTAGTAGGTACAGCAAATGGCTCATTCTCCTTCTTCTCCCCTTCACCTTGCCCACCCTCACCCTCACCCTCACCTTCCCCCTCACCGCCCTCGCCCGTCTTCCCACTCTCATCGGCTTCCCCCACCGCCTTCCCCGCCTCCGAAACCTCACCTCCCACACCCACACCCTGCCCACCAACTTCTCCCCCATCATACGCATCAAAAACAACAACTCCCTCCACTTCATACTCCTGCTCATCATAATACTCCTCTCCATCCTCCTCCTCATCCTCCTCCTCCTCATCATCATCGTAGTCCGCCGCAGCACCTTGCCCATCAGATTCACCCTCGGAATCAACGATCCCCGACCTCGGCAACGCCGCCTCTCTCCTCCGCCTCTCAACCTCCCTCTCTCTCTCCTCCTCCTCCTCTTCCTCATCTTCTTCCTCCTCATCATCGCTCGCTTCTCTCCTTCGCATCTTCAACGACATCTTCGCTTCCTCTGGATCACTCTCGTACTCAATCTCTTCTTCTCCTTCTCCCGCCATCTTCTCCATTCTAAAACCCTAATAATTTCCCCCTCTTTTCGGACCAAATCGATGGAATTTGTGATGAATTTCTCCCGAAATCGAAACCCTAGATTTTCATTCGTAGGAGAGAGAACATTAACGAAGAATTAGGAAGATTAATAAGGAAAATTTCGTCAGCAAATAATTGAGAAAATAAAGAGAAGACTTTATAAATCGGGTAAAAGAAATTTGGGTCTTCTTCCTGCGTGACAACAGGAGAGAGAGAGTGGAAGTTTTGAGAAGGTTTTTGATTGGTTTTAAAAGCCTTTTTTTTTTAAAGGAGAGGGAGATGAAGAGCACCGGGTTTATCTTAATTCTTCTACAAGGGCTTTGTCGGCAAGTCCGATTATCCTCGATATATGCATATCACTCTCGTAAACTTTTTCTTTCGAACTTATAGGTTGAGTATACAAAAGAGTGAAATTATACCTAAAGAACGTTGCGTTTATAGGTTTTAGGTATGAGATATGAGTTCGGAATGAGCAAAAACCAAACCTAATGTTTGTTAAAGAAATTTTAATTTCTAAACCCTTACCTCGGGGTATGAGGTTTAGTCGTTTAGATACTCAGAGTAAAGTTGGTAGATATGGTTCATATCATACCTCTATAGAGAAAATTCAAGTTTATAAGTCTGATATACAAAATGGTACTATGATATTTCATCTAATAAATTGCGTAGTTTGTCAATTCATCAACTTCTCTTCCCATTTTTTTTTTTTAAAAAAAAATAAATAAATAAAATAAAATTACAGAAAAAAAAGTGGCTAATTTCAACCTAATTGATTAATGGGTGCTTCCTTTACCTCTAGGTATATAGAAAGAAAAAAAATTAACAACAACCAAATGCAAGGTAATAAAAATCAAGTTCTAACCTCATACCACCCTATTTTATTCCTAATTTCAAACTCATACTACTTTATGAACCAAACGCCCTTAATGAGTTAATGTGAGATTTGGTACATTTTGAGAGATGTACTAGACTCCTCTTGAAGATAATTGATGAATTTGGGTGTAGTGGTTTTGAAAAATTAAACCCTTTGATTAATTTTTTTGTTTCTTGTATATGTGTTTGCAAAAAGTGATTATAAAATAACATGAACAAACAATAATGACTAAGGAGATAACAAATTAAGAAAAAAAGATGAAATGCAAGGTCATTATAATAATTTGGGGCGGAGGGATGAATAAAATAATAAAGTTTCTAAATGAAACATAATTTTTTTTCACAAAAATAAGTGATTTGATTTTGTCTTCATAAAACGATGATATAATCCCTCAATTTTGAATTATGCTCGTCTTTTTCTTCATAAAATTATCCCAAATAGTTGCAACACCTATGTAAAAGGCATGATCCATTAAGAGCCACTCTAATGATAAATTAATTAGCAAATTAACTTGTTATGCCACATAAGATTTTAATATAAGCTAATTTCTTTTGTAGCTAGTTTTGTGATACTAGCTTGTGATTTAAATGACACTTAATTTTTTAATTAGCTTTTTAAATTTTTTTATTAAAATATCAACGCCTTTTTTTGACAAGTTTTTTTCTCAAGCAAATTAGCTTGGCTGCTAATCTTATTTTTTAGATCTAATGGTCAAGCTAGTAGCTAGAAAATTTTCTAAATTACAAGCAAGTCCCTAGCTAGTAGCTACCTTCAATGGTCATAGAACTGTACCTAGGCTCTTACTTACAATTTTAAATAATTCCTAGCTACTAGCTTGACCATTGGAGCTAGAAAATGCAACTAGCTTGGCCAAGCAAAGTTAATAGATAATTAAAATGAAACTTGCCAAAATAGATAAATAAAATGAAATATAAAAAGTTAATGAAGAAGGTGGGGTTCATTTTTTTTAGTAAGCTAATAGCTAGCCATTGGAGCTCAAATTAGCTGAAATAACAATTAGTTTAAAAACTTATGTGGTGTGGCAAGCTAATTTTGACAATTAGCTAACCATTAGAGTTGCTCCTAACTTCTTTATTACTCCATATTTCTCTTACTTTTGGGACCACTTTACTTATTATTTTATATACTGTAGAAACTTAAAAGAAATCACCCACATTTCTAAAAAGTAGGAAAAATTGTCCACAATAATCTGACCTTTGCCTCATTTGCCCAAAATAATCCTATCTTTCGATTAGGGGTGAGCAAAGACTCAGGGTATTCGGTACCGGACCCGGAACCGGTTAGGACCCGCCGGGTCCGAATCCGGAACTGGTCTCACCGGTTCCGGGACCGGGTCCTGAATTTTCGGACCCAGTACCCACTGGGTACTCGGTTCGGTTATAAATTTTAAGTTTTTTTAAGACCCAATACCCGTTAGACATTAGTCCATTACCCATATGAAATAAGGCCCAAAGTCCAATTTTATGTTTTCAGTTTTCACGGTTCTTCATCTTCATTCTTCAGTCTTTAGCTCTTCAGTCTTCACTACACTTCACTTTATTTAGGGTTTTTTTTTTTTGAATCATTGCCGGCCTCCACCTTCAGTCCTTCACCATTCATCAGCAATTCAAAGAGTATCTCGGTCTCGTTCTCTTCTCTGTTTCGTTCTCAAGCATTTCTTAATCTTATTTTTTCACCACATCACCATTCGTCAGAAGATTTAGAATACTGGAAATCTGAAGCAAAAGAAGATCCATCTTGAAGATGAGAGGGAATACTAGAATGGCACTGAAGCAGAAGCTTCATCGCTGGTTGATTTATCTTCTTCTTCACCGCCTCGCCATTGTTCTTTCTCTTTCTAGATCCGACTATCTAAGCCATTTTTCTCACTTTTTGGTTCTTCTTTTTTGTTACACTTCAATTCTGCTTTTATTTTATTTTATTTTTTTAAATTTTAAGTACAAATTTTGTTGGGGTTTTCATTTAGGGTAATGCGGTTTTCGTTCCATTTTCGTTTCACAATGCTCAGAATCTGTGATTGCTGAACAATGTTATGAAATGTGAATCTGTGATTTTTGTCGTTTCATTACCCCTTCAATATCTGCTGCTACTGCTATGTGATTGCTCCTTAGGTTCAGAAAATTTAATTTCAAAAATCGGGTACCAGGTTATGGAACCGGTTCCCAGCGGTTTTGGTTCCAGATCTCAAATGGTCGGACCCGGTTGTTACCAGTTCCGGGTCCGGTTCCAAAATCTTAGACCCGGTAGTAACCGGTTCCGGGACCGGGTCCTTAGTTTTTTAACTGGGTACCCGGTTTTGCTCAGCCCTACTTTCGATTATTTTTTAATAATCCGACCTTTAATGTCAATTCGCTGAAAATGGTCCTAAGTGACCGGTTACCTGTTAAATAGGTAATTTATTTATTTTTGGTTTAAAGCATACGTGTCACCACACGATTTGTCTAAATTTTTAAATTAAAAAAAATGAATTTAAAAATAAAAAAATAAAAAAAAAACCAAGCAGCCCCAACCACCCTCTCCCAGACCCAGGCCCTACCGATTTGAAGCCTCAGCCACCGTCGCCGAATTGCAGCCAGCCACCGCCAATTTGAAGCCCCAGACACTACCGATTTGAAGCCCTAGCCACTGTCGATTTGAAGCCCCAGACACCACTGACGAATTGCAGCCCCAGCCACCGCAATGTTGTCGCTATTGTGGGTGGTTGCTCTGAAAAGAGAGGCCAAAATCGGGGCACGGGAAGGTGAGGTAGGCCGAACTCGAGGTGGGGGAAGGGGAGGGAGGTCGGAATCGGGATGGGGGAAGGGGAGAGGGGCCGAAATCGGGATGGAGAAGGGGTTTTTGAGGGTGGGGGATGATTTTCGTGGTTTTCTGTGAGGGAGGGAGGGGAGGGGGTCGGCCGCAGCGCAAGCGCCGGCTCTGGAGTCGCGGGATAGGGGAGTCAAGCAGCGGGGAGGGTGGTTTGGGCTGGTGGATTTTGAATTTATTTTTTCTTAAAAAATTTAACTTTTATTTAAAAAAATTATTTTATTTTATTAAATTTTTATTTTTTTGACCAATCACAAGCCGCCACGTGTCACATAACTTGTTATAATAAGTTACATGACCGGTTGGGACCATTTTCAGCAAATTGACATCAAAGGTCGGATTATTTAAAAATAATCAAAAGGTGGGATTATTTTGGGCGAATGAGGCAAAGGTGGGATTATTACGGGTAATTTTTCCTAAAAAGCAATGGCACACTTTTAAGTGCCTAAAATTCTTTGTCAATGTTTGTAGATGGGGACTTGCTTGCAATTTTAAATAGTTTAAAAGTGTGTCATTACTTGCCTAAAATCACTCACTTTCTTAAAAAGTAATGACACACTTTTAAACTAAAATTCTTAAAAAGAAATCAGTCCATTAGTTGTAGCTAGGGAGTTGATTACAGTTTTAAATAGTTTCTAACTACTAGCTTGACTATTGAAGCTCAAATATTCAAATTAGCCTTTGCTTGAAAATAACTTGCCAAAAAGAAAATGCTAAATGTAAATTAGTAATTAATATGAAAATAATCTAATATATATATATATAAATAAAAAAGTAGGCATTTTTGGAGAGCATTCGGAGCGCCACGTAAGAAATATACTTATTTCGACCAATAAGAAGAAAGATTTGTATTTTAGTTTTAAAATAAAAAATTATGTCGCCACCTAGATTATTGTAACGAATTAGATTTGATATATCTAAAATTTTAATGCCACATAGATTATAATCCACGAATTAAATTATTTTAATGAAAAAAAATAAAGTAAAAATATAGGAAAAGATAAATATATTAATTCAATACTACGAGTATAAGAAACCAAAAAAAATATACTAAAAAATATATAAATGATAAACGCTTATAATAAAGTTTGATACCTATCATTATAAGAAAACTTTTGATAGTATTTATGATAAGAAATACAAATTATTCGTTAATTATAATTAAATTAAACTTTGTTATACCTACCATTATAAATTGACACATCATACGAAACAAACAAAATTTCGTATCAATAAAAAACCCCATCAAGCGAATTTTGGGTTAGTAATTTTGTGTTAATTTTTGGTCATCAGTGGCCGGGTAATTTTTAGTTTAATTTTTAAATTCCTATGTTTAAATTAGTATTACTAATTATTATTTGCATTGTATTAATTTGGGATACTCAACGATTATGTGTTTATGTTTTATTTACTAAATGTTTTTTTACATGCAGATCTAACACATCATACGACACAAATAAAATTTCGTATCAATACAAAACCCCATCAAGCGAATTTCGTGTTAGTAATTTTGTGTTAGCTTTATTTCATCAATGTCCGGGTAATTTTTAAAATCTTATGTTTAAATTTATATTTGTTATTATTAGTTACATTGTATTTATTTAGGATACTTAACGATTATTTGTTTATGTAATGGCATTCGGTTAGATGTTGTATACTTAATATATGGATGGCTTTGGTTATTTTTGGAGATGATGAAAAAATTCCAATGCATAGATTTGTTTTTATATATCGCAATAATTTTTAATTTATTGGTAAATATATTGATTTATTTTATATAAATGTAAAGATTTAATTTATATCAATTTCAGTTTAATTTGGCTAACATTTCACGGTTCAATTTATCCATTGATGTAGTAGGTTGGTTGTGGACGAGGTTGGTGATGCTATTGAAATAAAAGATATGGTAAAACAATGAATAATGATTTAGGATTTAAATTATTAAAAATTTATCATTTCACATTAAAGATTTTATATAACGGAAAAAAATATCATATTTACAATTTATTTATATTTAATAAATTCATTATAAATTATAGTAAAAAAAAATATTAAACTTTTGTAATTTTGTCTGAAATTATTAAATACAATAAATCAAATAATTAAAAATCTTAAGATTAAAAAACTGTGCATTGCACGGGCTTCCATCTAGTAATTTAATAATTTAAGTAGTAAGCTAATAGCTAGCCACTGGGCTCAAACTAGCTAGAAAGCTTGTGTGTGGCATAACAAACTAATTTGACAATTAGCTTGCCATTGGAGTTGCTCTAACTATACTACAAAATATACTCCAATATCCAACTCTCGGTCTCTCACCCAATAAAATAAAAAGTCATTTAAAGTGCCTAAAATTCTATGCCAATTCACTGAAAGCATTGCTTCTATTTTGGGACGAATAATAATAAAGGTTTTTATAGAGTTGAAATTAATATGAATTTAAGTGAAATGAATGGATTAGACTAAACTAAGTTAATACAAAATTACTTCCTTGATCCCATACTATTCACTTATTGTTATAAAATTGTATTTACTGTTTTAATTTCTCTTGTAAATGTCGTATGATTTTTCCTTAATAATTTAATTTACCCTAGAAAATACAAGGTGATGGAATTGAAATTAAGGATACTTTATGATGCATTTCCAAATCCAAGTTATGGGCTACGAGTATTTTGCACAAGTGTATAGTATTGAGTAAATTCACTTCCAAATGTTTTCTATCCCCAAACAACAAAATTGGGTCAAATCCATTTATTTGTAATGAAACCCATTACTTGATAGGTCATTAGTTGAACTACTAATTATGTTCCATTGATTAAATTTAACCTAAAAAGGGGGGGGGGGGGGGTAGTCCTTTTTTTTTGAGAGATTTGTTTCTACAGACTTTTAATACAACAATTAATACCTAGCCTAATCAAGTTTATTTTAAAAACAAAAAAGAAACAAAAGGATATAGGGAATCGTTCAATTGGTGCCAATGTGGTTTTCTGGTTTTTTTTTTTTCTTTTCCAAAATCATATGATATATGTCCATGAGATGCATTAAAAATTAGTCAAACTTATTAAATCATGATAATTTTAAAAACTAACAACTAAAAAGTGGAAACACTGTGATTGTGACAAGAGATAAGAAAAATCTAGGTCAAGTCCTACAGTCTTCAGACACAAAGCAACAACCATAGATGATCAATGGAATAAAGCAGCAAAGTAAAACCTAATAAGGAGTAATAACTGATGTAATTCGCAATAACATAGCTCCATATATCCCAGATCCAAATTCAGTAACAAACATGCTAACATATTATTCAACATCCCGGATTACAAGTAGTTACTAAGTTGACAAATACCTCATTGATGACATGTTACAGTGCAGGCGCACAACAAAATGGGGCGGTAATTGTCTTCTTATCACTTTCGCCCCAGAAAAGGGCTTTGGCATACAAAAATCTTGAACAACCTCCTCACTTCCCTGTATCTGGTGACAACAGCATCAGTTTTACAGGGTTACAGCTTCTCATGCAATAACACCAGCAGATATTTGCAAATATACTTTTTAATCATCTGAGGCCTTTGGAGAGTTATCTGGAGTCTTCAGTGCAGTCGTAGCAGGTTTATCCTTGTGAGCTGAAACTGCTGAAAAAAATTCTTCCATAATCGAGCCATCTTTGAACTTCAGAGCAAATGTTGACAGCCCATCCTTGCCTTCTGTAGCGATATTCACACAAGCAAAAGTGATGCCTTTTTTGTCCATCTTTGTGAGCTTCATATCAGGAAAAAGACTTGCATTCAGAATCAATCTCAAATTCCCTTTAGCTCGCATCACCAACCGAGCTTTCTGAGTTTCCCCTTTTAGGACGTTCAATTTAACCTCTCCTTTACCACGTTCTTTCCATCCACCATCAAGAAACTCGAAAAGAGCAGAATCAGCATTAAAAACTGTTTCTTCGTTCTCTTCCCCTGTTTCTGTCGGTACCTCTGGCATAGAACGAAATGTGGAACTTTCAGTCTTGGTCCCAATGGATGTCCCTGTCATCACTGAACCAAAAAGGGGGGTACTACCATTAGTCGGGGCGCCAAAACTGAAGGTAGGAAGAGATGCCTGTGAAGGAGACCCATCTTTTTGAAGAGAGCCAAAAGAGAAAGTAGAGGTTGAAAATCCAGTGCCCATAAGGCCAGTGAATGCATTTTGGCTGTTTGAAAGTTGTTGAAATGAACTCAAAGCAGCACCACCATTCCCACTTGCATCAGGTTTTTCATTGTCATTTGTGCCATCATTCTCACCTTTGGTACAATCAGCTTGTATTTCACCAGCTTCACTTGTTTTTACAGCACTGTCATCAGCTTCTCTCTCATCACTTGGCTTGGGCTCAGCAGCAGTAACATCAGCAGCTTGATCAGGTTGACTGACAACATTTATTTGCTCTGTGGGTGCTTCTTTCTCCTTATCTGCATTAGATTCTGTTGTAGCCTCATTAGGTGTCTCTTTTGGTTCTACTTGTTTCACTTGAGTTTCTGATTCTGAGTTAGCATCATCTTTGGTATCTGCACCTGTTTTGTCTTCAGCAGTCTGTGCTTCTGCAGTAGCAGGAGCCGGGGGGACCAATCGAATTCCGGCGAAAGGATTTGATGAGGGAGCAGAGGGTGCTGTAGAAGTTTGCTGACGACGAACTTTCACTATTCTTCTTGTGGCCAATACATCCTCAGCTGCTTTCTTGAAAGTTCCTGCTGGTTCTTCGTATTCTTCCTCATCATCAAGACCAGGATTGTCTCGAGATAATTCTCTACCAGCAGCTCTTTTCTTAGAAGGCTGATTATCATCACCCATTGGAGATAAAAGAGCTACCAACAAGGGGGCAAAGACTGCTGAAAAGATATTCAAGAAAGGAGTCAAATATCACTGCATGAACAAGACAAAGACTGCTCAAGAAACTTGAGACTACAAAAGGCATAACATTAAAAAAACTAGTCTAACCTTATCCCTTTAAAACTAGTCATATAATACCCATCAATTGATCCATCCACAAGAAACACCCCCTACAGAACATATCTATTGAACTGAATAACTCAACTAATAATGTTGCATATTTTAGGGTTTAAATAGGCCCACATATGATGCACTAATGAAGAAGAACCCATTGAAGAGGGATATGTAAGCACCATGTGAACCCATAGGGTGTTGGACACACAAGATCCAATGTAGCTTTCGAACACCACAATAAAACAAGGGTGTATGACTGTATGTTACAAGCAATCACAGGATAGCGAATAGGATTAGATGAATAAGAATCAGAATTGACATGATTGGATGAAAAAAAAGGAAATTTACGGGCTGGCGGGCGGGGGGGGGGGGGGGGGGGTTGGGAATCAAAAAGCCTTATTCCCAAGATTTAATTACTAAGGAGGAGGGTGGTAAATTGGTAATAGGGAGAAGGGTGGTAAAATGAAATTTTGGTAAGCTAGCTATAAATTTTCAGCTTATTTCCATCACAAACTAAGCAAAGGGAAGGGAATTTTGTTAGTGATAACAAATTCCTAATTTCAACCTTTAAACCCCAAACTCACATCACCATAACATTTTAGTAATAAACTTCAAAAACCGGAGAATGTCAATGTTTCCTTCATCAAACATAAGCCATAACCATATACCAAATCCTTGAGATGTAATCAACTTATCAACTACTTAATTATATCAGCGAATTAAGAAAAGCACACTAGAGAAACTAAATCTAGTCCAGCACCAAACTTTAAGCTAAAACTATTAGCAACCCATGGAATGCTTAGACCCAAGATATATATACCAGCACAAACAATTCAAAGTCCATCCTTCACATATTTCAGTAATAAGGCCATGAACCAACCACATATATACCAAGTATAACCTAAGCTTTGATAACTTAGTGCAATACTCTGTAGCTAGCTAACCTCAGGAGAATTAATTTGTTCTATGTTTAAACAACCATAGAACAAATTAACTTAGTGCAATACTCTGTAGCTAGCTAACCTAAGTTTTGAGCAGGTCGGAATTGGAGTGGGAGTGGGTGAATTGTTTTTATCTTTCTTCAGCCCACTCTAATTCATACGTTTGTTAAAATTTTAACCATCTATTTTAGTTCAAATAAATTATTAATTGAAGTAATAAAATCATGATCTTACAAACAAAAAAAATAAAAAAAAAATTAATAACATCCACACATTATATTCAATACAAATTAGAAAAGAAAATTAATAAGTTTCACATTAGATTCTGAGACGACCTTTTCAAGTTGACTGGATTCAGAATCTCAATAGCAAACATTTAACTACTCCATATTCAATTGAAGGGGGGACGAAAATTTTTTTATATATCTTTCTTGCCATACATAACAACTTAATAATTAGACTTTCCCTATTACAAAGTACCAATTCACTATATCATTAATGCGCGGCGCTGCAAAATAGTGTAATGTGTGCATGCTTTATTTCCAACCACCACACGAAAGTCAGTAGATTAAAAGGGTGAGGCAATGGGTGATAAACAAAACTTGAATATGAATTCAGAAAACAATCCATCAGAATCTCATATAAACAATGGATAGATGGTACGGTAAATATCATAATCAAAGAACCAAAAGAACAAGATGACATCAAAACTATATTAACTACAAGCATACTTATTATATTTTCAAATTTTTTTTTAATAACCAATCGAATCGCATAAAGAACAAAGTAGGTTAATTTAATTTTGAAAATAATAAAAATTCACCCAATTCTCAGCAACACTAACAATGAAATTGTAATAACAAACACCCACAAAACCCCCAAAATTTCACGAATAATTTCAATTTTATGTCACTTTAATTAAATTTCAATAAAAACTCCTATCAGCCATCAAACCCCACAAAATATATTACAAAAAATCAAGCAGAAAATTACAAATAATTAAACTAGCGCAAGTTTTAACATCGAATCTCCCAACTATCCTAAACAATTCAATAAACAGGCAAAAATTATCAATAAAATCCCAAATAAAAATTCAAAAAATGGATCTCAGTTTATAAAAATAGCTAATTAAAACAAGCGAGTAAAAATCACATAAAAATGAGAAGCGGAATAAAGAAGAAAAGTTCATATATAAAGGACCTTACAAATAGAGGAATCTGCGGCGGTGCGAGTGTCGAGGGAATTCGGCGGCGATGGGCGGCGATGGGCGGCGGAGTGATGGAGAGAGCGAGCAGAGGAGAGAGAAAGAGCGGGGGGGGGGGGGGTTGGGAATCAAAAAGCCTTATTCCCAAGATTTAATTACTAAGGAGGAGGGTGGTAAATTGGTAATAGGGAGAAGGGTGGTAAAATGAAATTTTGGTAAGCTAGCTATAAATTTTCAGCTTATTCCCATCACAAACTAAGCAAAGGGAAGGGAATTTTGTTAGTGATAACAAATTCCTAATTTCAACCTTTAAACCCCAAACTCACATCACCATAACATTTTAGTAATAAACTTCAAAAACCGGAGAATGTCAATGTTTCCTTCATCAAACATAAGCCATAACCATATACCAAATCCTTGAGATGTAATCAACTTATCAACTACTTAATTATATCAGCGAATTAAGAAAAGCACACTAGAGAAACTAAATCTAGTCCAGCACCAAACTTTAAGCTAAAACTATTAGCAACCCATGGAATGCTTAGACCCAAGATATATATACCAGCACAAACAATTCAAAGTCCATCCTTCACATATTTCAGTAATAAGGCCATGAACCAACCACATATATACCAAGTATAACCTAAGCTTTGATAACTTAGTGCAATACTCTGTAGCTAGCTAACCTCAGGAGAATTAATTTGTTCTATGTTTAAACAACCATAGAACAAATTAACTTAGTGCAATACTCTGTAGCTAGCTAACCTAAGTTTTGAGCAGGTCGGAATTGGAGTGGGAGTGGGTGAATTGTTTTTATCTTTCTTCAGCCCACTCTAATTCATACGTTTGTTAAAATTTTAACCATCTATTTTAGTTCAAATAAATTATTAATTGAAGTAATAAAATCATGATCTTACAAACAAAAAAAATAAAAAAAAAATTAATAACATCCACACATTATATTCAATACAAATTAGAAAAGAAAATTAATAAGTTTCACATTAGATTCTGAGACGACCTTTCAAGTTGACTGGATTCAGAATCTCAATAGCAAACATTTAACTACTCCATATTCAATTGAAGGGGGGACGAAAATTTTTTTATATATCTTTCTTGCCATACATAACAACTTAATAATTAGACTTTCCCTATTACAAAGTACCAATTCACTATATCATTAATGCGCGGCGCTGCAAAATAGTGTAATGTGTGCATGCTTTATTTCCAACCACCACACGAAAGTCAGTAGATTAAAAGGGTGAGGCAATGGGTGATAAACAAAACTTGAATATGAATTCAGAAAACAATCCATCAGAATCTCATATAAACAATGGATAGATGGTACGGTAAATATCATAATCAAAGAACCAAAAGAACAAGATGACATCAAAACTATATTAACTACAAGCATACTTATTATATTTTCAAATTTTTTTTTAATAACCAATCGAATCGCATAAAGAACAAAGTAGGTTAATTTAATTTTGAAAATAATAAAAATTCACCCAATTCTCAGCAACACTAACAATGAAATTGTAATAACAAACACCCACAAAACCCCCAAAATTTCACGAATAATTTCAATTTTATGTCACTTTAATTAAATTTCAATAAAAACTCCTATCAGCCATCAAACCCCACAAAATATATTACAAAAAATCAAGCAGAAAATTACAAATAATTAAACTAGCGCAAGTTTTAACATCGAATCTCCCAACTATCCTAAACAATTCAATAAACGGGCAAAAATTATCAATAAAATCCCAAATAAAAATTCAAAAAATGGATCTCAGTTTATAAAAATAGCTAATTAAAACAAGCGAGTAAAAATCACATAAAAATGAGAAGCGGAATAAAGAAGAAAAGTTCATATATAAAGGACCTTACAAATAGAGGAATCTGCGGCGGTGCGAGTGTCGAGGGAATTCGGCGGCGATGGGCGGCGATGGGCGGCGGAGTGATGGAGAGAGCGAGCAGAGGAGAGAGAAAGAGAGGAAAAATGGGGGTGAGTAGTGACGCTAGGGTTAGACACTGGAACTCAATGCTTGAAGAAGCATTGATGGGGTGTACTAAGGTGCACCGTATTATTCTGTTACACCCACTATAAAAATACTCGGCCAACTAAGGGTAACATTATAAATGACCTATATACCCTTATAAATAATCCCTTCCCCCTAATTCAATCTACCTCATACATCACCATCTCCTTCACACTGCTCACCAAGCCACCACCCCCACAACACCAACCTAAACGACAACAACCTCTTCACGACGGCAGCAGCCCACCACGCAACACCGGCCGAGCTCCGTCAACCAGGGCCTAAACGACAACAACCTTTTCACGACGGTAGTAGCCCACCACGCAACACCGGCGAGACTCCGTCGACCAGGGCAAGCGCAAGATAGCCGCCACCACAGTCATGCCTCGTCAAGAGAAGCAACTACGGGGTAAAACGTCAGCCACCGGTAAGTTTATTTTTTATTTTTTTTGTTGGTTACGAACGTCTGTCGGAGATGTCTCAACGTGGTGGAGACACCTGTCGGAGATGCCCCTTCCACGGTGGAGACATTTGTCGGAGATGTCCTCCACCGATATATTTTTTTTTAAAAAAAAATTGATCGTTTTTTTTTAAAAAAAATATTTTGAAATTAATCAGTTAATTATTCAAAATTAATGTTGCATCTAATTCGATTTTTCATAATTAGTCAAAATTAATAATTTTGCATCTAATATGTGTCGTCCTTAATTTGGTTTAATTTTGCATGATTATGCGTTCATTAATGTGGCGGTGTGTTGGTTGTGGTGGTGGTGCAGTGGTGGTGACGGTGGCCGGGGTATTAGTGGTGGTGGTAGTGTAGGTGTTGTGGTGTGGTGGTACGAATTTGTGGTTTGAAGGTAAGTATGGGTGATGATGTAATAACATTTGAAAGTAAGGGTATGAAGGTAATTAATATTGTCGGCTTGAGTATTTTTATTTCGTCAAATAGCAATTCAGAAAAATAATGATTAAGGATCTTAGCACTACCCCAACCCATTTTTCAACCCATTTGATGAATGTGTTGTATTATGTTGACCAGTTTAATTAATTGTGTCGGAAACCTTTGACACTTTCATTTTATTTCGTGTCTGGTTCGTATCGTGTTGTCATGTTATAAATAAAAATGTCAGTCTTATTCAAGATATTTATCATAAAATCCATAAATTATAGTCTATTTTTCTTAAGCGGTTTGATTCGTGTTGGAAATCTAAACACTAACCCAACTTGTTTAATTAAATGTGTTGTGTCATGTCAGCCTTTTCCAGCTATAATATTTAGTTCGCTTTATAACGCCTTCTGTTCCAAAATAATGCTCTAGACTTTTGCACTATTAATTAGTACAGCGCTTTGAAAAGTGATTATGCTTTATATATAAGATTTATTCGGTTATTCCGCAACATAATCACATGGATACTTGTTGAATAATCTCAATATAGAGCGGTTTCTTTTGTATTTTTTTTTTTTAAAAAAAAATAGGTAAAAGAATAACATTAATAATAAACCATATATATCACATCTCATGTACGACATGCACAAAGCTCATGTGAATCTCATCCACCTCGTCATTCAAATTGGAATATTAAGTGTTGGGTATGAAGATGACCCACGTTGCATCTACATTTCAAGCCCAACGAGCTCTCATGTTAGGAGGCGTGATATAATATAAACTGATGTTAGGCTTTAACCATCAACTTAGTTTTTGGTTAAATTGGTTTTTTAAAATTATATCAAGATCTCTGGTGAAAGAGTTCACGGGTTCAAACCTCATTTCCTTTCAAGTGGAATTTATTTGGCACTAGGTATGAGATGGGTCTAAGCTGCATCCCTTTAAGCTCAACGGACTCTCATGTAAGGGGGCATTATAAAGTATATAAATCGATACTGAGCCCATGGTAGGGATCTTTAATGGTTGTAATGTATTTTGGGCCAAATTGAATGGGTCCATGTAAAGGGGGAGTGTGAAAATGCACTACGCCTGACTTGTGAATTCCTAACCCGACCCGATTCCAAACTTGAGTTACTAAGAGAGAAGCCAAACCCAACCCAAGCGATCCGATTTGACCCATTTATCATATTTTATAATGACCCAAATGATCCAAGCCACTAAAACCAAACAACCTAAACGAAATGAAATATGACCCAAACCCGACTCGTTGACCTAGATTGACAGATCTATCCGCCCCATGAACTATCACAATATGACCTAATTAAAAAGGAATTTTATTGGAACATTTATGTAATGTTATTGAGAGTTGAGAAAAATCATGATATGATTTTATTTTAAAAGGAGTGCAAATAGATGAAATATAATTAACAAAAAAAAATATCACTCTTTATTCGAACCTCAATTATTGCATACCAAGCAGTGGCGGATCCAGGAATTCTAACTAGGGGTAGCATAGAATAATAAGAAAAAAAAAACAAAAATTAGAAAAAAGTTCTATATTATTATATACTAGTATTATCGTTTAATAATTAGCCTTTAAATTTTAAAAATTCATTTTGGTAGATAAATTCTACTACTTATAATTTCTTATAACTTAAATGAGAGTCTTTTAAAAAAAAAAAAATTAATTCTGTACAAATATAAGTAAAAGCAATTTGTTTCAATAAAAAATAAAATTAGAACCTAAGAGACCTGTTTTATATGTAACATGTCTATTTTTTTTTAACATCAAAAGCACTCAAAGCAGCGAATTTGTTGACATTTGTTATAGCAGCCTCAAAGAGACCGGTTATTTAAGATAACAGGTCTCTTTGAACTTTTTTTTTTCTTTATTTTTTTTCTTGCTACCTCTTGTGCCTTCGTGGATTCGCCACTGATACCTAGTGTAGCTAATTATGCGTAATTTTGATATTAACTCCTACCAGCCTTTGCACTCCAAAATAAACATTTTTTTTTTAAAACATTCAAAAACCTACAATTCTAACATCCATTTGTTGGCTAAAGCCAAAGAAGAAGTTTCTATCAGCCAATTAATGGGCATAAATCAAATACTTGTTTCAAATGAATTAACGAAGAATATCAAAAGATCCAATGATGATGACAGCGGATCTTAGCCGAAAATATTAGAGGGGCCAGAATTTAAATATTTAACCTCTTGCTCAAAACTAATCACTATGACTATGTTATAATATTTTATAAGTAAAATATAGGTTATTTTAATTCATTAACTAATTAATGATAATAATTTACGAAGGGCCAAGCCCCAAATGGCCCCGTTAGAAGGTCCCTTTGATGATGAATGTCTAGTTGATGAATGTCGATTTTGATCAATAATAAGACCAGAGGCTTACAATGTTCTTCCAAAAAAAAAAAAAACAAAAAAAAGACTAGGCTTACAACATACTCTAGACTAAATCTGTTAGGCCACACCCAAAGTACGAAATCAAATTAATTATCTTAGGAAAACTTTTGCATGCCCCCGATTTACAGTAATACATCGAGCATTTTGCACGTGTGAACAATAATTTTACCTGGTAGTCTTTTTTTTTTTCAAAAATTACCCATATTTTCTCAAAAGTGACCCATTTTTTTTACAAAAGCTACACATATTTTTGAAAAAATTACCCTTAAACACGCAAAAGTTACCTTTATACACACAAAAGTTACTCTTAAAATCAGAACACCAAAATTCAATTTCACAATGTAAAAAATCCGTATAATTTTCAATTGCACACAATTTCGATTCAACTTTTTTCTTCCTCGAAGCTTTCACAACCACCACCTGAGTTAATTCTACTAAAAAAATGAAAGAAGAAAAATGTAGTAATTTAACATTTATATTAGATCAAAGATATTATAAAATCAAGATGAACACAAACCTCACTAGCTTCAGAATGAGATAGAGGAAAAAAAATGAAGAGGGGAGATGAGATTTGACAAAGAGGAGAGAGAATAGATAAATTGAAAGAAAAAAGACCTTACTAGTATAGACAGAGAAAAGAAAGGAGAGAGAAAAAATCAGGAGTTAAAGGAGGGGAGAGAAAAAAAAAATAAAAATGGAGAAAAAAAATCCAAACCAAACATGTGTAAAGAGGGTCATAAATCCTCAAATGGGTCGCGCCATACAGTAATATATTATACACCGACCTTTTTTAAAATTTGTCATTATCTTATTTGGCTAGCTTATTTTTTTTTGACAGGAAGAAGAATATTATCATTAATAAATTGCCATACGACATTTGCAATAATAACATAACTTTTACAATCAAAATCATAACTATTTTGCATATCAGGCATAGCTGACACTCCACCGCTTCAAACTTGACGCGAGCAGTGATTTTCGATGTCTTTGCATCTTTTCAAGTAGAGACTTTCGCAATCTACGCTGATGTTTTGATCGTAAAGTTGATGCCGAACCTTAAACCCTTATGAATCCAAATCACCTTCTCAATCATTATTAAAACCCTAAAACTAAAATTCTCATCCATAGATGAGAATCAAAATCCCAGAAAATTGGAAAAAACCCAAAAAAAATTGAGACAGACTCTCACAAATGAAGAAAACAAAACAAAACAAATCAAATAACAAATAAGCGAATTAAATCAAAGAAAAAGGGTCAAAAATAGTCTAATTTCCGAAAAAATTAGACTATTTTTAACCTAAATGGCCAAGAAAATTAAAACCATACAGAGAGAGGAGAGCGAAGAGCTACGGAGTAGGTTTTTAGAATATTTGGCTAGCTTAATTAGAGTTTACAAGTTTACTAAAATGATAAATTAGATTAAGGGAGATGGTCGTTGGGCCTTAGATGGACTTAAGACCATGTTGTATGTGCATTAACTAATGATTCCTAGCTAGACTATCTTAGACATGTAGTTTTTTTTTTTTTGACACCAGAGTATCTAAGACATGTTACCATATACCGTAGTTTCATACGTAGTATATTTTGCTCAATTAATGTAGATGCGCGGTCCAAGGAAATACGGATAATATATAGCGCGAAAGTGGTTTTTTTTTTTTTTTTTTTTCATTCTTCTTCGATAGGAGAGAAAATGTGACTGTGTGATAGTAGGTCTAACAAGTAATAGGTGCAATAGAGGGTATCTAAAAATTAATGTGAAAAAACATATAACAAGAAATTAAATAAATCAAAATCGAAAAAAAAAAATAAAAAAAATAAAAAAGAGGAACGACGCTCAAAACTAAAAGTGGGAAAGCCTTTAAGAAACATACAAAGTATGAAGTATACAATATAACTATCTGTTTATAATTTTACCCATGATTTAAGGGAGTTGAAGGGACTGAGAGTTATGTTGATTAAGAAGGTGAACGCTATATATTTTTTTTAATCATTTTTTCTTACAACAAAAATAACTTATCAATAATGAAAAAACAGTTGTACAAATTTAAATTAATAATGATCAATATTTATATAATGGTAAGTTTGCTTTGCCTTAAATTTCAGTTTCTATTTTATTTTAGAGATTGATATCAATTTATACAAAAGAAATACTAAATAATTCTTGATTTGATTAGTTGTATGATTTTATTTATATCCATCTATACTCCGTAATCGTTATCAATCAACATCTTTAGTAATTTATCAGTCATATTAAAACCATCATTTTTTATTAACAATAGATATTTAGTACCTAGGTGGCTAGGCAATTATAATTAAGATATGAAATTTTTTGCATTTTGTTAGTCGTCATCAAATTCATGTATACTTGTAAAAATTGTTTGTAAGAAAGTGATAATCGGACTCACACAGAAATTTTAATCCACAAGTTTCTGTAGGTTTTTAATAATAATTTTCAATTTCAATAATTAATGTGTTTGAAATAGCTAGGAAAACATAAGAAACATTTATTTGTTATTTTAATGACAAAGATGGAACATATCATCATATTAACTTCTGTCATTAATAAATTAATGTTGTAAAATACAGCTAGAAAAGCAATAAATTAAATTATATAGTTCACTAAAAAATAAAAAACAAAAGAAAAAAGAAGGAAGCTATAAATTAAGGGAAAGCACAAACAACATTTTTGTTCAATGAACTCATACGTGTTTACGCAAAGAAGTTCTAGTTATTGTCCATTAGTTGTACAACCATTAAATCAAAAACCATGAGCTCTTCAACAACAACAGATAGACGTTCAGCAGGATATAAACCTAATATTTGGAATCTTGATTTTCTTAAGTCTTTGAAAAGAGATTATTCTGCCGATCAACAGGTAATTTTTGTGATTTTTGTGGTAAAAATAGTGAAGATTGCTTGATGTGGTATGCCTAGTGGTAAGGTATAGATTAACATAATTGTCATGTCATCGATCAAGGGGTGAATACGTCAGTAGATCTAGTATGTGGGAAAATTCGCCATATTGGTACAAAATTATACAAGTATATCAATAGGCCATACATGTTGGTTATAATTCAGTTTACTATACTTCATCTTCAATTTTTAATTCTTATAATATATATTATAGATATAAACCTCGCATGTAAATAATAATAAATTTTATCACACAAGTATTGCGAGATTAGTTTCTATCCTAAACTAATTGATAATTCTCAATTATACTTGTGTAATAGTCATTTCTATTTTCATGGTCCAAGTAGTAGATATATGCGGGTTTCATTTCTTTTATCATAAGTGCATTATATCAAATTAATCGCTATCTTAATTGCCATCATATACTATACGTCTATACAATTGTATAGTATGTGCATTTATACTAGTATATACAATACGTGTTTATTATGTGATATTGTATTACCAATTTAGGCTAATTATTTGTTATATGCTTAACTAATCTAGGATGATTATGAAAACGTTGTAAAGAGGCTAAAATGTGAGGTGAAGAATTTGATGGTTAATGAAGAATTGAAACCATTAATGGTTTTCAAGATAATCGATGAAATTCAAAGACTAGGTCTTGGAAATCATTTTGGCGAAGATATAGAGAGTGCACTACGTAGATTGACATGCAAATTTGGTGATTTAAAACTTGATCTTCATGCTACTGCTCTTGGGTTCAGACTTCTCAGGCAAAATGGAATTTTTATGTCTCAAGGTATGTTTCCTTTTAAATAAGTGCAAATTTCAATTTTATTCAGTTTTAAGTACGAATAAGTGCATGTTCCGTAAAAATAAAATAAAAACAAGTGTTGATATTACTTTCTTTGTTGATATTTAAAAACATCGGTTATCATAAAGTGTCCAATTGTGTTGTCACCATAATCAACTATTTGTATACATACTTACAACGTGTTGTTTATTAGGCCAAGAACAAAATAAACTAGGTCAGATTGGAAATCAAAACTTAATATATAAGAGATGATAGAGATCATAGAATAAAGATCTACCCGACATATTGAAAAGAGAAAATTAATCGTACTAGAGAGGATTTTATGCATATATTTGTACTACCTAATATTGATTTATAAAGGGTTTTGGACTAGACTAAACCGAAGTTTGAAAATTGTTATCTCCAATTTCCTAGTATTAATGGAACTACATACGCTATAATTTACCGCGTTTGTATTAGTTATTTTCTCTTCTCAGCCTATTATTGTTGTTGAATATACAAATTAACCAATTAATGTGCCTATTTTCCCTTGTAATTAATATGATTTTCTTGGATTTATTTGGTATGAGAAACAGACGTATTTAAGCAATTCATGGACGAAAACGGCAACTTTAAGCCCTCTTTATGCAACGACAACGAAGGAATGAAAAGCTTGTATGAAGCCTCACACCTTGGATTTGAAGGGGAACATCTATCAGATGAGGCCAAAGCTTTCACCAAAGAGCACTTAACTAATCGTTACAAACTTGAGGATAAACAAACTATTGATGATGATGATGATGTGAATCACACATTAGGGCTTCCACTGCGATGTAGAATGCCAAAACTTGAAGCTAGACACTACATCGAGACTCATCCTAACGATGATGAAACGGCCTTGCTCGAACTTGCCATGCTCGACTACAACATGGCACAATTGACGCATCAACAAGACCTCCAAGAGTTGGCTAGGTAAGCTCTTCACAATTTTATTAGGATGATACCCTAAATCATTACACAACTACCTAATTACGAGAAAATACAAGTTTATCACCTTGATAAATAGATTTTGAGTGGCAAAATTGTAAATAAATAAAAAAAACTTTTTATTATAAATGGGCCCTAACATAATGTATAATTACCAAAATGTCATGTTGACTGAGCATATTTGTTAATTAATTTACGATTTTGCCATTTGATAAATGTGATAAATTGGGACTTCCTACTTAATTACTGTGTGGATTATTTTTTTTAGGTGGTGGAAGGATCTTGAGCTATCCGAGAAGTTGAGCTTTGCGAGGGATAGACTAATGGAGTGCTTTTTTTGGGGCATAGGCACATTACCTAAGCCTGAACTTAGCTCCGGTCGAAAGGCTTTAACTAAAGTCTTTAAATTCATCACTATTATAGATGACATCTATGATGTTTATGGGACCATTGATGAACTTGAGCTCTTTACCAATGCCATTGAGAGGTTTGCGATTATACTGTACTAGATCTATATGCACGCACATAAGTAAAATTTTAAAGCTTCCTAAACTATTTACTAAATTTTAAAGTTATTTATTGTTATTGCTTGTTTATATGTGATTTGTGTATGATGTAGGTGGAATATTAACGCTATCGACGAGTTACCAGACTACATGAAACTAACCTTCCTAGCTTTGTACAACACTGTTAATGAGATCGGATATGAAATTCTCAAGCAAAAGGGTTTTAATTGCATCCCTTACCTTAAAAAAACAGTAAGTATTTTGCATCATATGACAAGTAAATCTCTTGAATTCAATAGCCTAAATTAATTAGTAAACTTTCTTCTTTTTCTTCAAAAAAAAAAATTAATTAGTAAACAATTTTTATCAACTTATAATGTGCAAATACATTACTCGTATACTACGCAGTAGTATTTCTTTACTTTTAAATTACTTATTATTCGATATCACGCTCCATAATAATATGGGACATGTTTAATTAAGTTAAGCTAATTTAAACAAATATTTGTTTATTTCAGATTTGATCAAGATTAAATCAAACCATACTATATCAGATCATATCTTATATTTTGTGTTTATTTATATTAATCTAACGACATTTCATTTGAGAATTTTTTCTTAACGATTAGTGTATAAATAAAGTCAAATTAAAATTAGTCGGATCAGATTAATCAACTAAACATATAAATGGTTGGTGTGGACTAAATTAAAGTAAATTACGTACGTACTCTTGATATGCAGTGGGAAGATATGATAAAGGCATTTTTGGTGGAAGCAAAATGGCTCCAAAATAACCAAATTCCAACATTTGAAGAATATCTCAACAATGGATGGGTTTCAGTCTCAGGAGTTGTAGCATTAACCCATGTATTTTTCTTCGTGAGTCCAGAAATTACTCCTGAGGCGCTTCATTGCTTAAGAAACAACCATGACATTTTACGTTTACCTTCCATGGTCTTTCGACTTTCCAATGACCTTGCCACTTCTGAGGTACGTACATAATAGTTTATGAAAGTTCTATGGTAGTCTTCCTTAAAATGACTATCAGTATACTAAATTTTTTATTGGCTGGTTTTTGATTTATTTTTATGTCAAAATTAATTATAAATGTTTTTTCTTATTTTTAAAATTTATTTATTCATTTTTTAATATGTTCATAATTAATTTATGAATGTTTCAAAAAAAAAAAATTTATAAATTATTTTTTTATTTTTGTAATAATAAAAACTGAATTTTGTAAAGTAATTAGGAAAATTATTAAAAAAATTCAAAAAATTATTTTAAAATTAATAAATGAATTTTAAAAATTAGATAAATGATATATATGTAATTTTGACATACAAAATAAATCAAAATCAGCTTCTTAGCTAGTATATATTTTAAGTCCGTCTCACCTAAGACTCTAACATTTCAACATTTAAACATTTAAAAAATCGGATGTATAATAAATATTTTACATGCGCTATAAAGTTATTACCTTAAAATGATCAAATGTTACCTTGTAATGAATGAAAGTTGCTCATTATACTTCGTATATAAGTTACACTGATATAAATAAAAGTTTTTTTATGCTTTATTGATAAAAGTACCCAAAAAAGTTTAAAAGTTACCCTAAATTCAATAAAAGTTACCTCGATATACAGTAATATATTACTGTATATCGGATATATACAGAAGTTTTTGTCTAACTTTTTTGCATGTTTGCTTATCTTTGGTGTACGTAGGCTGAAATAGAAAGAGGAGAAACAGCAAATGCAATATCATGTTACGCTAAGGAAGAAGGTGTAACTATGAAAGATGCACGTAAACACTTAAGCAAGTTGATCGACGAAAGCTGGAAAAACCTAAATGAAATTCAAGTATTGAATGAGACTCCATTTTCGGTTGATTTCATAGAAGCAGCCATGAATCTTGCTCGTACAGCTCAATGCGCGTACCAACATGGAGACGGTCATGGATCGCCCGAGCTAATAAAGAAGAAAATTGTTTCTCTCATAGTTGATCCTATCCAATTATAATGTGTTTAAAACAAGTGATAAAAATAGCTATGATGATAAGAAGGATTTGCATAATACACCATGCATTTAGCGTCATAATCAAGGATATACGTCACGTGTCACCCATCTCTTCCACTAAGAGGATGCCACGTGTCACCCATCTCTTAAACCAAGGGGATGCCACGTTACTCAGATCAATTAGACAATGAACTAAACACGTCAATATTAGACAATGAGCTGACCACATCAATTAAAAAATGTATAGGTTAGAATTGAACTTGAGTTCATTAGAAAATAAATAAGAAGTCATACCATCTTTGCTATATAATAATTTAGCATATTTATTCTTCTTAAATATAGTTAATGTAAAATGGTAGACCATTGTATGAGAGTGTTTTTCTTTGTACTTTTACATTTGCTATTATTTAAGTAATACTCTATACTAGATATTGACTAGAAGACATATTATTTTCTTAGACTAAATCTAAAATAAAAGTATTTAAGATTATTATGTACATTAAAAAAAAAAAAATGTAAAAGTCAAATTCATCTACATAAAATAAAGGGTATTTTCATTTTTACCACCTTCAAATAATGACTTTGTCGAATTTACCACCTCAAAAAAAAAAACATTTACTTTACCACCTCATAAAAAAATTAAACATCAGTTTTACCACCTCATCTGAGCTCAGGTGACGGAAAACGCTTGTGGGGCCCAGTTAACTGTCACTTCCCTCCAATTTAATTCTTTTAAAATCGATTTCCCTCTGTCTCCTCCTTTTCTCACCTTCCACCTTCCATAATCAATGTCTCACCAAATTTCTCACTTCCTCATCAATTTTCGTCTCTCTCTCCTTTGATTTTTCTTGATTCTCACTGTAACTGCTTCTCTCTCCTTTGATTTTTCTCTTTCTCTCTGTAAAAACTGAAACCCTAGATCAATTTGGGTGGTTGAAATCGAGCTGGAACCACAAAATTGCAACACATCAGCTTCTCTTGTCATCTTCCACAGTATGAGGGGACCAAAAGCTTGGTAATTTGCTGACAGAAATCGAGATTCCTGACTACAAGAGGTACTTTAAACCCTTTATTAGTACATTTCGTTGGATTTATGGTTGTCAATTGGGGTAAAGTATGCCTTTTTTGGGAATCTGTGAATTAAAGTATTATAAACCCTAATTATGCGAATCTTTGACTGAATTAGAGTGTGCATTTGTTAAATAATTAGTTAATTAGATTTACTTGTTTACTGTTAATTTAGTGCATAGTCAATGTGAATTGCTTTTACTTGCTGTAATTGGTGAATTGGTTGTTGTTGTTTACTGTAATTACTGAAATTGGTTATTGTTGTGTGTGCTTTTGTTGGTGTTGTTACAGATAGGACACAGTGGACTTAAAAATTATAGTAGGGGGTGCCTTTATACCTTCTTTAGCTGGTAAAAATAGAAGGGTGTTAACTTGGGATGGTGGGTGGGTTTATTGGATGAGAAAAGTGGAAAAAAATAAGATAGATGTACAGTTTTTGAGGCAAGCAGCTATACATGGGTTTGTGTATGTGAATGTGAAGGTTCCTAGGGGGTTTAGTTGCTGGTATAAACAAAAGGGCAAGTCTTGGGTGAATGGTAAAAGGGAGCTTGTTGATGGTGAGGTGAATGATTTCCTAGAGTCTGTGAACAAAGAGGGGGCATGTGAGATGTATGTTACCAGTCATGAGCCAATTGAAGGGACTAACAAAACACCCTTCAAATGTATAGCTGGGAATGAGCTAACCCCTGCACAAAGGAAGGAACTGAAAAAGAGGTTTGGTGGGCCTAAAGTATATAAACCCAACCCAGAACTTAGTAAGCCCACTGAAGAAGAGCCATTTAGGAGAAGCCCTAGGTTAAAAGACATTGTTATACATGACAGAGAGGCTGAGGAGAGGCTTCCTAGGGCAGAGAAAGTGAATGCTAATACACATAAAGGGAAGGGTAAACTCACTGCTGCAGATAAGGGTAAGGCTAAGGTTGGGGATTAGACTGGAAATTTTGCTAATTTAGTGAGAAAAATAAAAGAAAGAGTGAGGAGCTTAAGGGATGACAGTGATGTGTTTAGTGATGAGGATGGTGATACAGAGCCTTCTGATTCTGAGTTGAGTGATTTTGAGTTAGAAGTTGATGAGGGAGAGGAGGACTTATACTCTGATGAAGATGAACAGTGGTTGAAGAAAAATTTAGACCATATTAACAGTGAGGTGAAAGGCAGTTTGAGGGGAGTTACTGAAGGAGGGGATCAAAGTGATGATGAGGACACAGGGTTTGACATAGAAAGAAATCTACAGAAAATTGAAGTGAGGGTTGAAGAGGAGGCAACTTGTGATTCTGATGAGCTAAAGAGTGTGGAAGGTGATTCAGATGATGATCAGGGTAGTGTTACTTGGTTTAACCCTGAGACAGACTTTGAAAGGGCTATCAAATTTGTAGTTGGTCAAAGGTTCAGTGATGTGAAAACAATGAGAAAAGCTTTGAAACAACATGCAATTGAAAATAGGTATGAGTATTACCTTATTCACAATGATTCAAAGAGGCTAACAGCATATTGCAAAAGGAAATGCAAGTGTGTGTATAACAAGAACAGTTGTAGGATAGTGAAGTGTACATGTAGTAAGGGTGTTAGGTGTAGGTTCAAGTTTTATGCAACAAGGCTTGTGAAATCAGAGGCTTGGCAAATTAAGACACTAAGGCTGAAGCATAGGTGTGTTAGGAGTAAAATGAACAACAAGGTGACAGCAGAGTTCCTTGCTGACAGGTACTTGGAGGAGTTCAGGGGCAACCCCAGATGGAAGATTAAACAGATTCAGGACAGAGCCTTGAATGACTTGGGGATCAAAATTACATACTCCAAGGCTTGGTTGGCTAGAAGCAGGGCAAAGCTTATAATATATGGCTCTTCATCAGAGCAATACTCAAAGGTTTGGGACTATGGGAAGGCACTGCTGAAATGGAACCCAGGGAGTGAGTGTAATGTGGTGGTGGATGATATTAATCAAATTGAAAGACCAATTTTTATGAGGATGTTTGTGTGCTTAGCTGCACTTAGGGATGGATTCATTTCTGGTTGCAGACCAGTAATTGGGGTGGATGGGTGCCATCTAAAAGGGGCATACCCTGGGCAGATCTTGGTTGCAGTTGGAAAAGATGGCAATAATTCCATCTTCCCAATTGCTTGGGCAACTGCAGAGATTGAGAACAAGGACAGCTGGTGCTGGTTTCTGGAGAGCTTGCTCAAGGCACTTTGTGTGTATGACCAAGGAGATGGCTTGACTTTTATGTCTGACAGACAGAAAGTAAGTGGGTTGTGTTTGTGTTTAAATTACTTTGCTTTATTTGAATTTTCTGTACACTAACTTGTTAGTTTTGCCTTGTGTGTAGAGTCTCATAGAAGCATTTGCAGATGTGGCCCCCAAAGCTGAGCTCAGATTTTGTGTGAGGCATATTTGGTCAAATTTCAAACTGAAATTTCATGGTGCAACTTTCAAGGAATTGTTCTGGGCTGCTGCTACGGCAAGCACTCTGGTAAGCTTCTATTTAGGTTCTTTTATGTCAGTTTTATGGTGAACTATAATGTATGCTAGGAACATTTAGTTTTGCACATATTTGCATGTCTTTCTATTTTGTGAAAACTGTATGCCATGTGTCTATGTTGTATTGAATGGTTGTCATGTGTGTGGTTGTATCAGTTTGAGTTTGAAGTTGCTATGGAAAGTATCAATTTTTTGGATGAAGAAGCATACTAGTGGTTGTCAAACATTGACCCCCAGCACTGGTCAAGGCATGCTTTCTCTACAAACTGCAAGTCTAACATGTTGTTAAACAACATGTGTGAGACATTTAATGCAGTGATTAGAGATGCCAGAGACAAGCCTATTCTAACTCAAATGGAATGGCTTAGAAGATATATGATGAAGAGGAGTAATGACAAATGGGAGGCAGCAAAGTCTTGGGAAGGTTTACTAACCCCATTTGTCAACAAAGTCTTTGATGGGTTGGAGAAGTATGCCATGACATGTGAGGTTACAGCTTCAAGGGATGAAATTTATGAGGTGAAATACAAGGATGATCAGTGCATTGTGGATCTGCAAGAGAGAAAATGCACTTGTTATAGATGGGAGTTGACAGGAATACCTTGTGTCCATGCATTTGCTTGCATAATGGACAAAAGGGATGATCCTGAGTTGTATGTGCACCCACATTACTATAGGGTGACATACTTGGCTGCATATGAGAACCCAATACAGCCAATGCCTGGCCCTAAGAATTGGGAAAAGGTCAAGCTCAGACAGCCTTTTCCACCTATGCTGAAAGTGCAGCCAGGAAGACCTAAGACAAAAAAGAGAAAGCTTGAACCAGGGGAGGGCACTTCTGCAGCACCTGAGGGCAAGAAGCCAAAGGTGAAGAAACAATGCAAGAACTGTGGTGGGTTTGGCCACTTTGCCAAAACATGCAAGGCTGAAGCAGCACCAGAACAGCCTAACCCACCTGCAACAAATCCAAAGGGTGGGAGGCCACAGATGCAGACTCCTTGGCCTAAGGAACAGAGAAAGAAAAGTGAAGAGAAAGCAGCAAGACAGGTATTTTGTGTATTTTGTGACTTGAGTGTATTTAGTGGCTTTGTTTCTGAGTCTTGTCATACTGTGATTGCAGGCTGCACTGAAGTTGCCACAATATCAGCCTCCAACAACAGCACAGGCTGGGTCAAGTAATGCTGCACCTGCAACTGCTGTGTCAAGCCAGCCTGCAACAAGAACAGAGCCTTTGCCAACTCAGCCTGTTACCAGGAGCAACAGGAGCCTCAGTCAGCCCACAAGAGTGCCAACAACTACTCCTCCCAAAGTCAAAATACAGACCAGGTCCAAGCTTCATGTAATGACAAGCAAGAAGGACAAGGATCTCAATCAACTGTGACCCTAGGTCTACTCATTAGTATTTTGTAATAGACAACCAAGTTTATTTGGTAGTTGAACAATGATTTTGCACAAAGGTGCCTTAACTTTTGTCTCAGCCAATGTAAAACAATTAAAAACATTGTGTTGCAAGTACTAATACGAAATGTGATATGTTTCTACCAAAAAGTTCCATTTCTCATTGATTTTGTTAAAAGTAGTACAACAAATGTCATCCCAACATCCACACATAATAATTCAACAAAACACAACATAAGTTGGGGATTTTTTTTGTTTCTAAGCATTCCTAAATGAACCTAAGATCTAAAATACATAGCCAGTACCAAACCAAAACAACAAAACACAACAATAACATGTACTGTGAGCATTTTCTTTGTTGTTGCATTGCTGCCATGCACTTCCTTGATCATCTTCTTCCTGTCTGAGCTAAGAGCTTTGCATTTCATCTTCAAGCTGTCAATCTCATTGAGCAAGCACCTCCTTTGTCCACTAACATCATCAACTTCCCTCTTCATGTCATTCAGCTCTCCCTTCATTAGTTTCTTGTCCAGCAGCAAGTTGTTAATCACCTCTGTTTGCCAAGGTGTTCCATCTGGTTGATCCACCCACTCAAAAGCTTTACACCCCCTTGACTCAGTCACAGGATCATAGAATTTGCAGGTCCTAAACTTGCGTCCTGGGTTCTCCCTAGTCCAAGCAGTCAGCCTAGACATTGGAACTCCACATTGGCATTTTTTCTCCTTTGAGGGTGACATGCTAACTGAAGACATTCCCTTCTGAAATTCAGTAAGAACAAGAATGAAATTAATTGTATTTGAACACAATCACCATAATATAACCCTAATTTCAGTAGCCAATTCACATAACAAAAACCCCAATCTAATTTAATCTTACATGAAACCTAAGTATTTTAATTGAAATTGGGGTTTAATTGACCTCACAAAACGCCCAATTTCAATTACTCTTAGCAAATGCAACATAATCACGCAACGAATTGCCAAAAAATTACAACAGAAATCACGAAAATTGCTAGAGAATTAACGACAATGGCTTACCTTTTTGATGCTTGTTGTCGAGGAGTTCAATTGATTGTTTGATAATTAGAGGGTTTGGGATTGTTAAGGTTGCCCAAAAATACTGATTTGTGAAGAAAATCGCAAAAATTAATCTCCAATCTGCAAGAATTTGGTGTACAAATGAAGAACTAGGTTTAAATAAAAGGGAAATCGAGAGAAATTTGGGAAAAAATAAAAAACTAGCCGTTATGCTGGGCCCCACAAGCGTTTTCCGTCACCTGAGCTCAGATGAGGTGGTAAAACTGATGTTTAATTTTTTTATGAGGTGGTAAAGTAAATGTTTTTTTTTTTGGAGGTGGTAAATTCGACAAAGTCATTATTTGAAGGTGGTAAAAATGAAAATTTCCTAAAATAAAATACATGAAAACTATAATACAATAATATTTAATGTATGACTCGAAATATCGTCCGGGCTAAACACTAGTTATGCATTAAAAACCCCTTAAGTACTCATATCAACTAAGGTATTTTTTGGAATTAGCCGTACCGTTCATATATACACACACACACACATATATATATATATATTTATATATATATATATATATTTGTTTTTCTTTTTTAGGGGAAAAGGTCACTCAATCTATTTCTGATTTCAGGGTAAAGATCTCGTGAAAAATTAATATCTATTAACTATTACTAAAACAAAACGTTGCTGACGTAATCACTGTCCACATGTTACTCTCATAAAAAAAAAAATTTCCCTCCTAAATGGAAGGATGATGTCATTTTTTTTTATTGGAGCTATCATATTTAATAATTTTGAAATTTGAATATTAGAAGCTTTACATTACAAGTACAACCTATATTTATCCTTAAAAAAATGACATAACTTTAAGTAGCACACTAATGCTTTCTAAAAAAAAAAGTAGCACACTAATAAATAGACTCCTACATTGAAATATGTATTAGGTGACGTTGAACAAGTATTATATCATAATTTTGATGAAAATAAAATTTTAAAAGTACAGATATTTTTGTACAAGGTGCATAATTCTTATTTATACTTATCCATTTTTTAAAAATGTACAAATTATAAAAATAAATTTTATATAAACGTACATCGCACGGGTTCTAACCTAGTATATACTAAAATAGGCACCAGGAATGACACATGTCAATTCATGGTGCTGTTTTTTCAATTCTCCCTAAAACTACCCTGTATCTTCTTCTTCTTCTTCTTCTTCTTCTTCTTCTTTTTTTCTTTTTTTTTATTCAATGTCAGTTACTATAATTTTATACACAAAATATTAACACAAATCATTTATCATTGAATTTTTTAAACACTAATATGGTCTAATATATAGTTATATTATACTATACTTATAGTCTAATCAACTATTTCATTACATACATGTTTAATTTAAAAATATACACAAAATAAAAAGAAAATAAATACAAAGTGTGTTATAGTTGTATTTTGCACGTTCATGTTATTACCATGTATGGCATGAGACCTAACCTAGTAAGAAACTAAAAGCCGCCGTGCGAAATGCTCACTTATTTTTTTAGGAAGAAATCCTTACATTTAACAATGACACAAGTTATAATATTTAGGAATTTTTATTTTTTGCAACCTGAAAAATAACTCGAATTGTTTTTTTTTTTTTTACCATTCAAACAAAAAGAATTTGTATTTTACCACTTTCTTAACAAATTACGTCCAATAAGTCCCTTGCTTAGGGTTTGTGCGAGTCCTTAAGCTAGGGTTTGTAAAGTTCGTTAGTTCTTTTGTCGTGTACCTCAATCTTCTTTCCCCTTGATTTCCATTGCTTTAATCCTTCTGCCTTGTATGGAGGAAGGCCTGATTGAAGAGTGGAGGAAACTCTTGCTCACTGAAGAGGAAACTACAGTGCTTGGAGGCGATAATAGGTTGTCGTACACATGTCAAAGATAAATTTCTAACAAAACCAACTAACAATGTAGTAGGGTAAGGAGGGTCGAATCCACAGAGAGAAGACTATTTAATCTAACCTCTAAGAATTTGGAGAAATTAAATTATGTCACGAAATTGGGATAGAAAGTCTAAACTAATGAAAATATGAATAAAAATCAATAAAAAAAACCTAGGGTTATGGTTCACCATACTTATAGTTCTAAATCTATCAAAATATTAATAACAATTCAATCAATCAAGTATCTAGAGCCATTGCTAAGCCTACGGTCGGGTCTTAACGCTCTCAATTCAACATATGTAGTTCGGTAGCTAAAATAATTAGAATTGCCAATTGTAGGTAAGCCTCTAAAAGTAAGATCTTTCGATTCAAACTCTTATTAACAATAATTAGTCAAACAATTGATCAGGTTGCAACATTAACAATAAAACGCTATCAATTAGAGAAATCAATAATCAAAATATCAATAACATCAATCAAGATTCATAGTATAAACATGGATTCTCAAACCCTAGAAATAAACTACTTAAACATGAAATAAATAATTAAAACTAAATCTAATAATAAAGAAAGCATAAGTAAATGAAAGAAATAAAATACCTTAATGAATTAATGTAACAAACTCAAGAGCAATCCATGGAGGAATCCATGGAATTGCCCAAGAGAAACTATGTCTAGGGAGAAAACTAAAACGAACGTATGTAAAACAATAATAAAAAGCATAAGAAGAAAATAAATCTCCTTGAGTATTTATAATTCTCTCAAATTCTAATCTAAAAATAAATAAAGAAAAGAAATAAGAAAATATAAATTATACAAGTTGTCAAATGATTGGACGATAAAAGATGATGTGGCACGAAGATGCTCGATGAAGACGGCCAACCGACCTAAGAACCAAGCCTTAACGAGCAACCATATGATGGTGATATGTTGGCACATTGGACTTCAATAAGGCATTGCTGCATATATGAGCTATCGCTCGGTGCTTGCATGAAGGAGTGCAGGGGCGAGCTATAGCTCGCTGGCGAGTGTGCTCTTGCTCAGGGCTGCTGTTGCTTTCGACATATGCGAGCTAGCTCGCGAGCTCTCGCTCACTCGCTGCTGGCATGGGCGTAGCGTCAACGTCACAGGCTTGTAACTTCTGATTCATAAGTTGTATATAGGCGTGTGACATACCGTTGGAAATATCTTCAAGTCTAGCTTCCAGTTCAACTTGAATCACTTCAATCCGATTCTTAGAACTCAAGTTATGATCAAAAGAGTGAACAAAGGTCAGTTTTGACATATCGTTCATCATCGTTTAACTTCGTTTTCAATTCAAATTCAATTCGGAAAGGCACATAGTGACCCTTGTGAATGCTATGTTCATTTTCCATCCATAATATAATCAAAATCAACATCCATGATCATGGGTCTTCGATTAATAAACTCAATTCATCAACTTCCATCCAAAAATCATCCGAATAAATTCTAAACACTTCGAAAGCGTCCAAATGACTATAAAATCACCTAAAACCTAAGAAAAACACAAACGAAGCGTAATAGAGCACAAAACGGTTAACTTATACAATTACGACCTAAGAAGCGACAAAAAGTCCTAAAAAACAACTATAAAACTAGCATAAATGTGCTTATAAATCGTACATATATATAATTCATCAGGCGATTTTGAGGATGTGCGTGATGATAATGCACAAGCTAAGATCTCTTTGTCTCTGATTGGTAGGATTTTGACTAGTAGACCATTCAATCTTGAAGGTCTGAAGAGAACTTTGAGGTCGATTTGGCGATTGAAGGATGGTATGGCTGTTAGGGTTGTGGAAATAAACCTTTTTGTTTTCCAACTTTATTATGAAGAGGATAAGGAACGTGTGTTGGAAAGGCGGCAGTTGACCTTTGACAATCAAATCTTACTCTTGAAACACATGGAAGGAGACAAACAATCCTCTGAAGTTGAATTTGATCGCTGTCCTTTCTGGATTCACCTCTTGGATGTTCCCTTTAGCAGGAGAAATCGTTCTTTCGCATATGAGATAGGTGAAAATCTTGGTGGTTTTCTTGAATATGATGATTCTGATCCTTTAGGGTGGGATGCTTCTATGAGGATTTAAATTGATCTTGACATTGGTAAGCCATTGAGGAGAGGTTGTACCATTGCTTTGAATAAAAACAATACTAAATGGCTCGATATAAGTATGAAAGGCTTGGAGATTTTTGCTTCTTTTGTGGATGTCGTGGTCACACTGACTGTGACTATCAACGCATTGCAACGAAAGATAATGAAGGTAGTACGATAGTTTATCAGTACGGTCCTTTCTCGAGAGCCTCACCTCGGAAAAGACCTAAGATGTCGTTGGATGAGAAGGAGAAGACCCTAAGGTGGAAGGATAACCTGGCATTCAAAAATATGTCTTGGAGACCGTCATACAGTGATCTTGATGTTGTTTGGTTGGCCCCCCTGGTGTTGCTAGAAAGCTAATGTTCCCCCGAAGGAGGATTGTAACCACCCTAATGCCCCCATCTGAAGGGTATGTTAGCTTCCCCTTTATTGATTAATGATGATTCTGAAAAAGTTGTGCTTAATAATTGCAATGAAGTGTCGGGTAATGGTGTCACATGCACTTCCCTGCCTCTGGTGACTATTGAGATGGAATATGATGACACCTTTATTGACTTTGATAATCCTAGTTCTGATATGTTTGTTGTATTGATAAATAACCAACTTGTGGACCCCCCTCGTACTGCTAAAAAATGGAAGAAATTGACCAGGGATCCCATGTGTGTTAATCTTGCTCAGTG